TCTCTCAACGAGATTCTTTTTCTCCTCTTGTCATCTCGACGTCCGTTTCGTTACACCGACATCAGATCGAATTATCGGTACAACGAGAATCGATCTTGATAAAACGTTAATATCCACGAGAGGATCTCTTGCGAGCGTATAAAAAACCTACCGACGTATTTGCGTTTGGGTATGTGTGTTTGTTGTATGCGTGATGTATGGACAAGCGTTTTTCTCACGTTAGTAACGCGGACGCGGAGAAAAAAGTCAATTACGCCGTTTTGTTCGATGTTAATTGGGTTAGGACGATGCCGGATGGACGTCGACGTTGGAAGAGTGAAAGAGAAATGGGTAGGGTAGGGTTGGGTTGGGGCATTGGGCCGAGAGGAGATTGTAAGCGGAGCGCAACGAAGAGTGGAAATAATTCTCAACGGTGTGTCAGAGCGTGTCTTTCGCACAACTGCCGAGCACGGTTATTTCGATCGAGGGAAAACAGTGTGACGCCGAGGTCGTAAATAAAAGGAAACAGTCGTTCGTCCCGAAGAATCGCTTTTCCAATGACCAAGCGCTGCCACGAACCCTTTTTCATCCTCGTGCCTTTTTCTTTTTCTTTTCTTTGAACGTTCAACGATATCGTTCGTTGTTATATTTAATCACACAAAATTTTCTCCCCAAAGGATTCTCTCTCTACTATCGCGAAGCGTCTGAGACGAAACGTTCTAACAATGACATTTATTTCCGAGCTTTACGTTTTGGTTCGGACGTTATTAAGAAGAAAATGTACCGCGAGATAAGTAGCGCTACTTAAAACTGCAAACCAGTTATTACATCATTACGCGTGATATATTACACGCAGAAGTAGGTGTTATTAATCATACTGTCGCGAAATAAATTTTGATGCGATCAGTGCTCGCGCGCGTTCTACGTGCTTCGTAACGAAAGCGGCTTATCTCTCTCTCCCTTTCTCTCAAGATCAATGGACGTGGCGAGGCGGCTTCGTAAAGACCAAAAGAAGGAAACGTGCCCAGGGTTGCTTTTTAATGATGGACCCTTCCTCGCAGTTAATATTCTTAGGAAGCTCCTTATTTTATTTATTGTCTTATTATCGTTGCTGCTTCGTAAAAGTAGTCGCCATAGTTCGTGAAATAAGTATAAATGCAAGTACACGGTCTCTCTTGCTCGGTGCTCTTTCGCTTTCCCCTTTGAGTATTTTAATTTTAATTTTAAGTCTGTGTTCTACTTGGGTCGCATTCTAATAATACATTTTGACCTTATTACAGCGCTCCGCCGTATAGAAAAACTGATACAATGGAGATTTTAAATGGAAATCCCCTTTGACTTTGGTCTAATAATTTCTTTTGTTCTTTATCGCTCAAAAAAAATTCTTACTTCTATCCACGCGGATAGATTTGAAAAATGCAACGAACGGCAATAAACGATTTTTATATTCTTTTTGCCCTTCGAAAGGACCTACAGGGATGTATAAATAAAGGCGTTAGATGGAAAAATTAAAACGCGGAGTTCTATAACGAAGCTAATCGCGCCTGCTTACGTAATACGTGAATACTTTGACGTTTCGCAGAAACATATTTTTCCGATAGGTCGTCGTTTACCACTTGGCAAGTATAATAGATGATATAGATGGCAAAAGACTTTGCTATAACTTTGACAGCGGCGTTCGAATAGTATTTCTATAGCTTCGCCATTTCAACGCGAGTAAGATCTATTCGTTATATTGGAAACACAAAGATTGACGTTAGAAGAAAGACACGGTATAATAGATAATTTCCCATAATTTTCATATAAAATTTATGTAGACGTCCCGTGGTTTGAGTAACCTAGCAATTTCACGTCCGACGATTAAAATAAATTTCATCTAAAATATGGCGGTTGTTTTGGACGCCTAAGTAAACTAATCTGGTATAATGAGAAAAAGGTGATGTACGCGGTCGTTGTCGAGATCGTAAACGAAGATACGTAGGGTGGGTGGGGTGGGCCTATGTGATCGCTTCACGTTCGGTTACCGACAAAAATCTGAACGAGCGTTAATGGCGCATAACGCGCTAACGGCACGTCCAAATCAGATATAAGACTAATCGACCCTTATCCGGCATCGGACGTGTGTCAAGGAGTCATTGTTCGCCTCGCCTCGCCTCGCCTCGCCTCGCCTCGCCTCGCCTCGCCTCGCCTCGCCTCGCCTCGCCTCGCCTCGCCTCGTCCCATCCCGACTCACCCGTTCTCAACGGTCTCGCTCAAAGTTTACCGTTTAACTCCCTTACGCTTCGTGATTCCGCATTCCCGTTATGATGGCCGGCGTTTCCTTAATTAGCATAGATAATGGAGCCGTGTGCTAGACCCTTATATAAACTGCGTGCCCGAGAGACCGAGAGAAAGAGACGAAACGCAGAACATGTTTTCGATCCTGTGCTAGCGAATAAAGGTGGTTCCTGCTAGTGTCTCACTTTGGTTAACCAAGCGACCAAGTAGTTTAGGACATTAGTTTAGGATTAGCTTAACGAATAATATAACAAAGCGATCGATAAAAAATTTCTTCGTCGTTGTAAAATTTTAAAGATAAAATCGAGCAATTCTCTCCGCATAACGCGCAACTAATCGTATGAAATTTTCACACGAATTAATACGATTTATCGCTGCTCTATCATTTTATCCAACGTTTCAAACGTAGTTTATACTCGCGGTATGCGATTATAAACAAACGGATGGATAAATTTGTATCGCAGTAGAAACGCGCGCGCGCGCACTTTAACGATAAATTTGATATATTTAAAATAGCTATGATAATATTATATTATATATCGTCGTGTAATATTATATAATGCAGCGTGTTAGTAAGTACGTAGCGGTCGGTGCTGTTGGAATCCAAGTGGAACGTATCCCAGTGTGGTCAGCCAAGTAGATAAGCGCTATAGGACGCTTTCGAAATCGGCGCGTATGCCGTATTTAACGAGCAAGGAAGTTTCGCAGGAGAAGGAGGAATCGAGTAAACTACTAGAAAGCGATTACATATTTACACGCACTTGTAGAAATAGTTCAAGTATAATAATCAAGTATAAATGCGCATGAAAGCCCACTCGCGAGAATAATAATGCTAAACGTTCGTCGCGGCAAAGGACGTTCGTGCGAAAGATATTTTTTGCTTTGGGATATATGGGTTAAATACGTGTTTTAGGTAGACCCTTTTGATCCACACATTTGTATTATAATTACGACCGAGAAAATGTGTCTTTAAGAGGAGGAATTAATAATTAATTAACTCTTATCCGAATATCTCGGGTATGAATCGATAAATACGACGACGGATCAATAATGAAAGGATTTGCGACGTGCCTAACGTTCTATCCTAACGTCGTGGTATCCGCGAACTAAGGACACCGATACTCTTTGAAAATGTACAAGAAAAAGCGTATCGTAACGAAGAAGCAAGCAAGCATCTGTAAAATAGAGAGAGAATCGGAGGTCGAGTAATACGATGCAGTTGGCCGCGGCGATAATAAATTATCCCGTAAGCGTTAACGACGAGCTGCGACGGTCAGACGTACTGGCAAAAAGCAGGGAAAATGGATTATTAATTACGATATCGCGGCACGTTGTGCAAGAGAGGAAAATCGTTCGGATGAATGAGAGGGAAGGGAGGAGAAGTAGAAATTCTCTCGGTGTAGAAATTCATTGTACTCAGCGACGATACGTGATTCCCATTTACTGTTACGAACACAACTATATGCGACTCTGAAATAAATTCTTCGGAAATCGAGTCTATCATTCGATTATTTCCAACAAACCGAACAAACCGACGCTGCTACCTATCACCGGGTATTTCAGGATTGAACCTGATTTTTCGTAAATTCAATTTCGTATCCGGTAAAACTCTCTTATAACACATCGGCCGATATATACATCTTTCTCTAATAATTTCCACCTAATAAAATGATTCTTGGGGGAAATCGTTAAATTAATGAAGGAGGTTCTTATTGTGACCCACCGTACGTAAATGGGAACCGACTAGGCGGAGACGAGCGCTAATTGCGTTTGTCATGCCGATAATTAATAATGCATCGATTCCGACGACGGGAGGGTTGGCGAATTAAATGCATTAACGAGGATAATCGGGATTGCGGCGAATGCGAAATCGAAAATACACCGAGTGCCAAGTTATTGAATGCGAATGATCAATCATTCGGACAAAGTCTCTTTCCCCTTTTCTTCTTCTCCCTCCCAATCCGGGCTTCCTTCGTACGGCACCCTCTCTATTCTATTGGGCCACGTCCGCTCGCGGCAACCTTCTTTCCCTTGAAATGCTTACTTTGCATCTTATGCTTCGCATAATAGAGAAGCGAATCGGCTCGTACATATGTACGAGTGAGATCGTACGGATACGTGCCCGATGACGTGCTAGATATGTCGATTTGCTTTCCAGAATGGGACTCCGGAAGCAGTCACGAACAATGATAACGTACGCCCTTCTGATAGTCTACGGCACCTTAACTATATGCCATTGCTGCTACGTCTTTCCAAAAGGTACTTTGACCAAAAATCGGCTCGACTCGATTCGACTTTTATCGTTGATACTCGTCTTTTAAAAATATTATTATCGATTAGCTCCTCCGATCGACGCTGCTGCTCCTTACTTTTATCGAACGCGATTTCGGCACGAATTGCGCTTACGTAATTATATTTTATAAGAACTCAGATCGAGCGCGTGCGACGGTCCATCGATCAAAACCAAAATTTATCATCATTTTATTTCGTTCATACAGCCTATTCTTACTTCTACGAGATATCGCGAATTCGCTTTCATCCTCCCTCTCGTACTTGATAAATATAATATCCGAAGGATACGGGAATAATAAATAATATTCTTCGTTGTAAAGTCATCGATGTTTATTTATGAATGATTAAAAGTCATAGAGAGGCATTTGCCTCGTGTTAATTTAGGACAAGTCGCGAGACCTATATACGATAAGGATCGAATATGAAATCGACGTCCTTCTTTTGTGTTACAGAGATCAAAGATCCGTGCAGCAAGTTAAATTGCTCTCAAGGCGCCCAATGTGTGCGAAGTCGCGACGGTACCGAGGCCTCGTGCGAGTGCCTGCAAACATGCCCAAATTTGGGAGATCACGAGGGCTCTGGACCCGTTTGCGGTACGGACGGCATCGACTATCCGACCTTGTGCGACCTGAACAAAGGCGCTTGTGCGAAAGGTGCAAATATCAGCGTGGCTTTTCACGGTAAATGCGGTAAGTAATTTTTGCAATATATTTTGCAATGCGTATAGAAATACGTTCTAGGAGAATTCGTCGTGTAAGACTTTAGAAAATTAAAAATAAACCGATACGTCTGCGACGGAACAAAGATTACTATTACGTCTTATAGGGGAGAGAGAACGGCGATAAAACTTTTTCCTATTGCCATCGAGAAGCGATACAGCGCCAAATTATTTATTTCCACATTATCTTTAATAAATATACTCGTCATTGTGGTTAATCGAAAATACACTTTATCCAAATTACATGTATTTCCTATTTTCAACGCGGCCTCGAGTCCCAAAGCAAAGCCTTGCTTTGGCGTATTATAATAAGAAAGGGAAGAAAAGAAGAAAATGTAAAGGTGCGGTTATGATCGATGAGTTTAATTTATAGTTCCACTATATTATATAGACACCATAAGACACGAGAGCAAACATAACTTTCGAGCGATCCATCCAACTCAACGAATCGTGCACGAGGTGAAATACCGTCTCGTTCAACGCGAGCGAAGAGAGGAGAGCGTTACCAAATTTACCTTTGTGAGTTTGAAAATTCGTGAGAAAGAAAAATTGAAGAAATGGAGAAGACGTAGATAGAGAATAGAATAGAATAGAATAAAGACTGAAGGAATAATCTTATTGTTAGTCATTGTAGGAAAAACAAATTCGAGGGACAAATAAAGAGGATCGGCGAGAAACGTTTGAAGTCGGTCGGTTCCCTTTCACGCGGTCGTAGGCAGATGCGGACAATGATAAATTAGCGGTATGCCAAGAAGAGAGAGAGAGAGAGAGAGAGAGAGATGGCAGCGTGTTCGCAAGCGTTGAGACGGAACGTACGATATACATATAGGATTTATCGTCTGACTCTCGCGATCTGCCGGTGTTCCGACCAAAAGGAGTCAGGCTTCGGTGCCTCTATCTCTTCGGTCCGCCTCCGCCTCCGCCTCTCTCTCTCTCTCTCTCTCTCTCTCTCTCTCTTTCTCTCGATTGTAGACTCTTACCCTCACCTGTACTCACGGCCCCGAATCCATATACGCAGTCATCGTTCTTTTCTCTCTCTCTCTCTCTCTCTCTCTCTCTCTCTCTCATCTTTCTCGTCGTCACATTTACGGAAGTTGCCGAGGCACTTCGTCTCGAACGCAGTACAAACTTGGCAGGCGTTTAATCAACCGAGTAGTAAAGACAAATGTTTGATCAGACAGGTAGCAAGAGGGAGCCCTTGTTTGCTTAGGATTAGGTAAGTTCCATCCCTTCTGCTCTCTTCTGTCGCTCCAAAAGCTTCTTCCCCTCCCTCCTCTCTCTCTCTCTCTCTCTCTCTCTCTCTGTCCGTCTGTCTGCGTCGCTCTCGCTCGACTTCTCTTCGTCTTTCATACGACAGATAGTTCTGCTCCTTCGACGTAGGATGGTATTCGATTGTAATAGTTACGATAATCGCAGCCACCGGTTAACGAGCTGGTTAAATACATCGTCGAACGATTCTCGCCCGCTTTCGTACCCTCTATCGCTCTTCCTCTTTATTTATCTCGTTCTATTCCAATCTCTCTTGGGAGAACGAGGCGGTGTGGACGTGCGAACGATGTACTCCGTCCAACACCCGAGGGAGACAACTAGCCGGTTCTCTCGTGGAAAATGCATAGAATACGCAATCGTCGTTCTAATTTCTGTTGCCTTGTGTAATGCAACCGAAATTAACGTAACGCGAAGAGTAGTCAACCGTTAAAGACAAATAACGGATAAAAAGGTTAGCTCCTCTTGATCTATGTAAATTGCTTTTCATTTATTTTTTATAAAGTCTTCTCTCGATTTCCATAGAGTTAGACGAGATGCGATCATGAATATCGCTTTAACGGAATGGTCTGAATTTGTCACGACCATTTTCGCTCTCTAACTTGTTATTTGATATCTCTGTTTTACGCAACAGCGAGAAAAAAAGTATAATAAAAATAGGGGAAAAAAAAAAAATTAGAGCTCTCGAGGGACTGCTTTAACGGCGCAAGCAGCAAGACGTTACTTTCCCGTTGTTCCTTTTTAAGGACGCGAAGGAGAAAAAAGGCAGAAAGAGAGGGAGAGAGTAGATAAAACGAAAATTGCACAAGTTACGAACTTTAACAATATCCAGTGGTCGCGTACGACTACTTTAGACTATCGTCGAGTGCAATTTTATAATCCGCTTCTCTTCTCCCTCCTCGCAATCTGTCCGCTTGAGCGTAATAACGACGGTACGGATTCGCATAGAGAACTAGACTGCGCCTAGATCCAGTGAGCCTTTTAGTTTGGTAGGTGGATAAGGAGGAAGACTCGAAGGAAGAGAAAGTCACACCAGGACGACGACGTCGGAAGTTTACAAAGACGAACGTCTTCCTCTTCCTATCTCGTCCTCTTCTCTCTTCGTTTCTCTTCTCTTATTCTTCCTCTCTTCCGCGAGACTTCTTCGCTTCTTCCTTTTCAATTGTATTTCTACCTTGGTATTGTATAAGGAACAATGAAACGTAATATCCACGGCGGGAAAGTCGTCGAGGATCGCGTCCTAGAGACGAAAGAGTAGTAGTCTCTCTCTTATTCGCATTAGTTTCCGCATCTTCTTCCTTTCTCGAATCGAAAGGCACGCACGCACGACGACGACGACGACGACGACGACGACGACGACGACGACGACGACGACGACGACAATGACGGCGAGCAACGTTTATCAATCGGTGCCAGTTGGTCCTGTGCGATACTTTTAAACGCCAAAATCGATAATAAATTCTCCGCAGCATAAAGTATCAGTTGCCGTGGCTCGAACCCACCACCTCTCACCTTCCTCCTTCTTCTTCCATCCGATTCCCTTTCTCTAGTCCGTTCGCCCGCAACGTCTTTCGTTCGAGGGTAAGGCCAAGTAGAATAGCTTCGGATACGAATCTCGAGTGGCGCCGACGATAAATCAAATTAGCTCGAAAAGTTTCGAGACTTCCGAGCCACCGAACTCGTTTCGCTTTCCCTCCTTTCCATCTCTTTTCTCCTCTACCGTTTGCTTCTTGATCGGCAATCTGGACGAGTATATTGAAAATGGAGAAAATGCGAAAACGTTTTCCATAGTTGAGTCGAACAACTTTTTCGTTGGAGATTAAAAACGGAGATTCTGAATCGAGAGAGAGAGAGAGAGAGAGAGAGAGAGACATCTTTAAAATGTATGACGCGTGAATTGATGCGATGTCATAGATAAAAGTGTCAATATTAATAGAAAATATTCCAAGCGTCGAGGAGAAAGATATAAGTTCAGAGAAAATCGAATGAGAAAAAAATGTTTCTTTTTCGACTAATTAACGCGGAAACGTATAGGCAGAGATTACTAGTGTCTACTCTTTCTTACATTTCGTCGAATAAACTCACTTTAACTCGAGATTCTTCTTCTGGTATCTTGGGTAGAGACGGAAAGAGAGAAGTGTACCCCATTCTTTTCACGCTCGAGCGGCCCGTATAAGGGTCTTGGGAACAGGGATGCAGAGAGGACGAGCGCTTCAGATACGAGCTTCGGTTCTGCAAAATGGATTCAACTAAATTCTCACACTCGCTAGGCTAAAGTATTTGCCTCTTTCGAACGTATATACATAGACACGTGTGAGAGGAAATCTCGAAGCAAGAAAAAGAGAGAGAAAGAGAGAGAGAGAGAGATAATCTATGTGGGAGGGTATCTATGTGTGTGCGCTCGTGAAAGAAGTAGGATGGAAAGGCAGACTGGTGACGTAGCTGAAACGTGTTTATCCAAAGACCTTTTGCGAACAGGTTCAACGAGACGGAAGGTTCTCTTTCGTTGGATCGGCGGAGGAGCGACGCTCGATTTTCACTTTGAAAGGAGAACGTAGTATACTCGTACATCGTAACGGAGAAGAGAAGAAATATAGGAGTCCAAAACTCTACTTGGAAAACGAATTCGCGCGAACGTTGCACGCGACTAACCGGCAAACCTGGACGAATATTGCTTGCGCCTTTGCTTTCTACTTATTTCAAACGACCGACCTCTTTATCATTCACTTTTCGTATATAAAATCTTCTTTCAACTTTGTATTCAAACTAAACGAATAATAAGAGTAGTATCATTTGAGATAACATAGGTACACCGAAAATCAATAAGTATTTTTTCGAATTTTCGCGTTTATGTTTCCTACTCCAAGGAGGAGGACGAAGAAGAGTAGGATATCCGCGTGGCCCCGATGCGCGACGACGACAACGACGATGTTGTGTGCATGATGGCTTTGTCGGTTTCTTGGTTGCAATACCTGAGGTCCTACCAAAGGTAGATCGAACGGAAGTGGGTTACTGCTGGTGTACGTTAACCCGGAAGCACCGCGGTGCTGCTGTTAACATAAACCCAGTCATTCCACCTTCCAGACATAATACCTTTATACGACGCTCGTAACGTTCGCTCGCCTTCGTTTCGCGTGTCTCGTATTCTCGCTATTTTGCGAGCAACGCCGGAAGTAGCAGATAAGACCGCCATATTCTCTCTCTCTCTCTCTCTCTCTCTCTCTCTCTCTCTCTCGCAAATGCACGAAGAGATATGACAATTACGATATACGCGGTATTCGGTAAATTCCGTTTATTAGATGAGAGTATATGCGTTTCGTTTATAAATAATTCGCGCGAGAAAGATCTCGCAAGACGCCAAATGCCTTAATCCGATAATAAGCGTTAAACTAGCGATATATCGAGAGAAGAAACGAAGAAAGTTATAACAATGTTTCTCCATCGGAAGATGAATGGCTCGGATCTATCGGTTTTGCGCGTGTTGCCGTTATCGGTAAATATGTTTTATCTAGATCAAGCTAGTCGCGCCGCGCCGGACCGAAACGTAGCTTATCGAACGCATCGTTGCGGAAGAATGGAATCGAGGCAGATCGATCAAATATATTGCATCCGTTCGGTGCGTGTGCGTCGGTAGACGCGCGGGAACGTTCGAACGTCCATAAAATTGAGACCGATGCTGAACTTTTCGATGAAAAATCCATTCCCGTTGTTCTATCTCACTTCGTCGATATACGCTATACGATATACTTAAATTCCGGAGATAATCGCTTTTTTCTTTTCATGGCTCATTCGATACAACTATTAAAAGCTTCTCATTCCATATTTTCCTCTTTGCGAATTATTATTACTCTTTTTTCAAAGTTATCTCACGAATGATACGACGAAGCGCATGGTAGGTCGAGATGGACGAAGAAAAAAGAAAAGAGAGAGAGAGAGAGAGAGAAATGGAGACTTCATGGAAAAGTTTCTTTCAAGTTGAAAGATTAGTTGAAATCGGCGAGACCACGGCGACGACGCAAGAGAAACCAGACGCCGCGACGCTTGAATGCTCGGATGGAACGAAAGCAGAGAAGCGAAGCGAAGAAAAGAGATTCTAGCGACGAACTTAAAAACAATTGCCCTGTGGTGGCGACGCGGGAATTTTAAACACACTTTTATCGCTCGCGCGACGCTTTCTCTCTTCGGTAGAGATCCCTCGGGCGTCCCGAGACCGTGCCAATGGAATTCGAGTTATGTCCACGTTCGCTCTCTCTCTCTCTCTCTCTCTCTCTCTCTCTCTCTCTCTCTCTCTCTCTTTTTGTCCTACCGAGAAAGAAAATTCATCCATCAAAATATAACTTTTGTAGTGCACACTTCAATTTCCATGATTTATACGTTTTCTTTCCAATAAATAAGTTTTTCTTGCTTCTTTTCGATAAAAAAGAAATAGGAAATTAGAAAGTAAGAAATTAACGTGGAGCGTCGTTGGTCCTATTTTTTTAGAAGATCCTTGACATTCGTTGTTTATGTTGGAAACATACGAAGCGACAAATTTTCTCACTCTGCTTCCGCACTAACATTGTCCTTGTAAAGAGCTTGCGAATATCGTAACGATCATTAGCAGCATTATCCCTCGCTATCCTTTAACAGAGAATCTCAAGCGTCGAACGTTGTCTTGACGAAGTAAATGTATGTTAGATCGGAGTGATTACCGTTATCAAAGATACAAATTTGAGAGAGAAAGAGAGAGAGAGGAAAGAGAAGCTGCCCCGTCAGTCGTATAGCACACAAATGTTCGAGGTTGGAGAAGAGAACTAAATCCTAGCTTTCTTCCAGCTTGCTCGAGGCTGAAGATTAATCTCGCGGTAAAGCACGACTTCTTTCTCGGTAACGCCTTCGGTTCCATCTTCACTGCCATTTTTCTCACCTACTTGTTTTTTTTCTATCATTTTTTTGCTAACGGGTGGAGCATAATGGCCGAACAGATTGCTTCGGTCCAATGCTCGTTTTTTAATGAAAGATTATTGACGTTGAATGGGAGAGAGAGAGAGAAAGAGAGAGAGAGAGAGAGAGAGAGAGAGAGGGAAATTTCATTGGACGTTATTATAATAATTATTTGAAAAATACTTGATGGCTCTTATTCGATATTACAGATCCCTGTGGTAGCGTCGAATGCATGGAACCAGAGATCTGTCAATTGGATGGCTCCAGGCAGCCCGCTTGCCGTTGCGGAGAACAGTGCGGACTCGAATTTTCGCCCGTATGCGGAAGCGACGGTAAGACTTATTCGAACGAGTGCAGCCTCCGACAAGAAGCTTGCAGATCGAGGCTTCCACTTCGAAAGATCTATAATGGTGCCTGCAGTTCAGGTAAGACGAAACTCTGAACGAGTTAAATACTCTCTATCTTCAAAGCCCAGGCTTTCCTAGAAACGCGCTATCTATCGCACAAATATCATTCAACCAACAATGTAAGAGCCTGGTCGTTCTTGTAAACAATGAGAGTTTAGTGGTGTACCCACGTTTGGATTAGTTTGGAATAGTTTCCTCTTAAGCAAAGAAACGTAAGTCAACGTGAATATCGAAGATATAATTCCAACAATCATTTTACATATCTGCGAGCATCGTGGTACTTTGATCGATAAACGTTCGCCAAATTCAATCTCTTAAGCATCGGAAAATGCCACGTTGATTCGTGGTTTATAGTTTTCTCCCTGACTCTCTCTCTCTCTCTCTCTCTCTCTCTCTTCGCTATCTGGTAGAGTAGTACCTCGTATGTTTACATGTTACCAATACGCGGTAAAATTGATAAAATTTTATTCTCGAGTCGTATCGAAAAAAAAAAAAAAAAAAAAAATCGAATCGCACGTGGATCATTGGGCAGATAATTTGATAATTATATTTTAAAATCAATAACCAAGCTGAAGATGCCATTCGAACTATGCGGCAAAACGTATAATATAAAGTCACATTTTCCGCACAATTTCTCAGGTATCAATCCCTGCGACGAGGCGAAATGCGGTTCGTACGAACAATGTGCCATCAACCGATATGGTATTGCGAGCTGCGAATGCGGTCCGGAATGCGAACCAGTCATGAGACCAGTTTGTGCGCGCGGTGGCACCACCTACACGTCCCTTTGCGAGCTCAAGAGGCGGGCCTGTCTAACGAAGAGCAATATCGAGGTCGCTTACACGGGTACCTGCGGCTCGAGAGGACCCTGCTCCGAAAAGGTCAGTTGATCTCTCTCTCTCTCTCTCTCTCTCTCTCTCTATCCATCTATCTCTATATCTCTATCTTGCTCACCACGATATCCAATGCTACCGAGTACCCGACAAATTGCGACCGAGAATCTCTCGAGGACGACGAGAGGAGATAGGTTGGAAGGTATTTCGCGATTTCCGCTCGCACGAACGCGTGCATCGCTTCTCTACGATTAATGGTCTCGCAGCTCTTTCTCTTTACGCCGACGGTATTCCCTCGGCGATATTCCCGACGCCTCTCTACCTCACGCTCTCTTTTCAATTTTTCCACATCGAAGGACTATAACGTCGACGAGTTTTATAGTTTAAACCGTCGGCGGTTTAGTAGTGAAAAAAACAAAACTTTACTTATTACTTGTTCTTTGATAGACGTTGTTTGTAGAAGAACGTCGAGTAATTTGACGAAAAGACGAGTAAAATATTGTAATTGAAATAATTGTTTCATTACGATACCTCGTTTGTATTCGCATTTTCTACTTCACCCATTCGTTGATTTCTTTGATAAGGTTTAAAATGCCTAGTACGGTCTCAGCGCGTACCGTTTTCACGAGAGTCTTCTCGAGAAGCGATTGTCGCTAATTGGATGACAACCAGGTCGGATGTCATTGCGAGAGAGAGAAAAGAAGAAAAAAGAATGGGGTCGATGAATTTCAGTAGGAGTTTCAGACTCAGTAATAGTGTCGAGTCACCGTTGATTCGAATCCTTTCCGGTCAAATCCTCGCCGTTCGTTTAATTCGACATTGCACCTTCTTATTTCTTTAACGACAAATAGATTATTACTAAGCCCGGCATATCGTTTAAATTTACATAAAAAATGAAAACCTGTTGGTTCGCGTTCGAAAACGAGAACGATAATTTAACTTGGCGCGTATTGGACTCCTTCGAGAGAAATGAATATGAGCGATAGGTAAAGCTCGACATAAAACTCGATACTTAATAACTCGAATGAAAAAGATAAAACTGACAAGATTCTTGAAAATCATGTCTCAAGGTTTTCCACGCGATAATTAATAACGAAGTAAAGTCGAGGATGAAAGTTAGATCGTAGGGCGCGTAGAAGCGACGCGAAAGGTAATGGGTAAAAACTCGCTTCCGCTCGAGTCGCGAATCCTCGATTATAACGAGAAGTTTATCGAGTACCTGGTCGCGTCGCGTCGCGTCGCGTCGCGTCGCCTGGTCGCGTTTGCTAATCTCATAATATTTCTATGCTCAAAATTCCACGTCGGAGAAAAAGGACAGTGCAATGCAGTTATCTAATGGAGCAAAGTACATTAAATCCTGAGAATTAAGGCAGCCGAGCGTAGTAAATTATGCGTCGCGATAAAATATCGTCAGCAATAAATTATCAGCTTTAGGCGAGGGAAGAAGGCGAAGGGTGCGCCCTACCACGTCTCGTGTCTACGTAAAGAGAAAGAGAAAGCGTTCGCGTTCCTTCGGATGAGTCTATCGAGAGAGATCCGCATCCTCGACTTTTTCGATGCGAACAAAATTTACCAGGATACCAAGTTCCATTTAACGCGACTAATCTAATGTAGTGTGCTAGCCAAGAGGAATAAAAGAAAAATAGAAGAAGAAAAGAGAGATGAAATTTCTTTTCACAGGTCTGCCAATGGGGTGCAATTTGTGCGGAAAACGGTGGAAGCGCCATTTGCGAGTGTCCTACCTGTCCGGCGGAGTTTCAGCCAGTTTGCGGGGACGACGGCATCAGCTATGGAAACGAGTGCAAGCTGAGATTAGAGGCGTGCCAACATCGCCGAGAGATTCGAGTTCTTTATCAGGGCTTGTGCAGTGAGTAATCGAAGAGTCGACAAAGATTTCGACGGTTGAAAATTATAAAAGTATATATAAATGATTTGCGTGATGACTTGCTAATCAACGCGCATGACTTGCTGTGATTTTCTTTGCTACTAAAAAATCTTCAATGTTGAAATCTTCTTTATTTTCTTCCTGACGCTTTTCGTCATTTTTTAAGGTAGCATGTTTTCCTTCTTCTCATCCGCTCTCATTAAAAAATTTTAAAAATTCCTAAATAGCTGCTTAATACGCATACGCGACTCGAAGAAGAATGTATATACGCATACGTAGATAGACTCTCGAAGGCATGCACATTCCCGCGAACGTTCGGGTATTAATCTTCATTATATTATTTTCCTCCGAGGATTTAATAACAACGGCCTCTTTTTTCTTTTCGGAAAATTTCATTGGCCGTCTACTTTACGCCATATAGCATCCTGCAATTTCATTCTTATTAATTCTCGTTTCGGGCGAACCGCAACAACAGCAGCACCAGCTCGCTCCGTTCTACTTCGTATTGTCGATGTGGGACGAAGAGGAACGAAATAGTCGAGTGAAACCAAGGAAGCGAATTCCTCGATGACGCTTTCATCGATTTCTTTGGGATTCTCTCTCTCTCTCTCTCTCTCTCCCCGCCCTTCGTGTTTTATTTTAAGCGAAAAGAAAAGATTTTTCGCTAACATCAAGAATTTGTCACGAAAACCGAAAGATGAAAATGATTAAACCAAGAGAGACAAGTTTCGTCATCGATGACGAGATATTTGCGATGAAAGGAAGAGAAGAGAGAAACGGCACAAAGATTCTGTGTGACGCAGCGAGAGAGAGAGAGAGAGAGAGAGAGAGAGAGAGAGAGAGGAGGAGGAGGGGAAACGAGAGAACAGAGATGCACCACCTGGAGGCAATACGAAATTTATCGTCCGTCATAACAAGATGACAAGGATTTCTGAAAGCGCGAAACTACGATATAGTCCCGCTTTAATCTTCCCCATTCTACATTCTACATTCTTCCCCCCTCTCTCTCTCTTTCTCTCTCTCTCTCTCTCTCTCTCTCTCTCTCTCTCTCTCTCTCTCTGTCTCGTCTCGCTCGCCCTCTTTATGGAAATTACTCGCGAATGACCCGGCTGTGCACGAAACAAACGTACAACTCGAGGGTTCGCCCCGAGGCTGGGTTCCGCGTGACACCTGGCTCCGTTCATTTCCAACGCAAATTCACACATTCGCGAATGCATCTGTCGATGCCCCCTCCTCTTTCTCTTCCTTTTCCTCCTACTTCTTCTCCTACGCTCTTCTATGAATCTTCTTAGCATACACCCAAACATCTATGTGGCTGGCTCGCTGACCTGACACTCCATCGTCGTCTAAGATATTATACTCTATATGTGAAATATCCAAATAATTTCAAGTGCGTTAACATAGAGTTTTGCTTTTCTAGCTCGCTTAATGCATGAAAACATTATACGAATATATTTCCATTTAAATGAGAATTCGATTATCATGAACGAGTCGACGCTTTGTTGGGTAAGACCGATCGATACGAAATTTACGAACACATCGCGGTTTTCCCTTGGCCGAGGACTTGTATATCACGTCTTTATTCTACTTTCAGATTTCCAGATACGATACTGCGATTTAAGCGCAAAATAAATCTATAATGACGTTTATTCGCCAAATTATTCAATGTAAATTATTCATTTTAAACGATTATTTTGCAGAGATAAAGAAAAAAGAAAAATACAAAAAAAGAAGAATACAATTACGAGAAATGAAAATTGTAACGATAGAAGATATCCTAGTTGTAATCGATCTTTGATGAAAATCGAAGCGTACGGTCATGATTTAATAAGTTTCGCCGACGTAAAAGCCACTTTTAAAGTACGCGTATCTACTATCTATACGTATCTAATAATATCTATTCGCGTCAAAAGACAAAAACGTGCGCACATAGTTTCGATACGTGGTTGAAACTAGGTCCGAGTATCGAATTCCTTTCGCTAATGAATGCTGCTTCGATCGCTCATGCCTCTTATGAAAGAAGTCATTAATATGCAAGACATTACGCTTTTAATTAAGAACGAGTGCACTAGCTCGCGTAAACGATATTAATATTAAATCCACGAGACAAAACATCTTCTTGTAGAAGAAAATAAAATTCTAGTCAAGTGTGTTACGCGACGATATTTCAAAACGATGAAGGTCGTTATTTTTATATCACCCGCGAACAATCGAACCCCGGCGGTGTCTTCGTTAAATGTCCGTAAGAGGAAGTCAAAAAAGTTCAAAAAATATTTCTAGACGGGATAAAGAAGGATAGTTTGTATCTCCGGGCGCGATGTTTAAAAATATGTCGAAGCACGGACGTCGATTATCATCCTCTCGCTACGTTAATTCGTCGTTAACGTCCTGCGTTAGAAAGTGCCATTATGTTTATAAAGTGATACCAATTTTCTGTTTGCAGACGGTTGCGAAAATAAAAAATGCGAACATTATGCGGAATGCGAGAGCGACAGCGCCGGGGAGGCAAAATGCGTTTGCCCGACGAAATGCGAAAGTTCGGTAAGTAATACACGTAATAAAAGCGAAGAAAAATTTTATAGATCGTAATAGGAATTTCTTTGATTTTCAATTTATACGTATGCGTGCGCGCACACGGATGACATCGAGTATGAGAGCGTTTGTGAAAAGATTTATCAAGCGCCGGATGAAAAAACGAAAAAAACGAAAAAAAGGAAAAAAAAAAGAAAAAAAAAAAAAAAAAAAGAACCGATCGTTGATATTCGTAGGTTATGTAACCCTCGTTACTGGCGAACGTTATTAATGGAAAAATGAACCGATTTATCTCTTATCGTTCGCTGACAAAAAAATTGGGAAAAATGACGCTTGAACCGTAGGCGAACATGTGTTAGAAATGAAATTCATATCGTGCACGCAAATACATAGGTATGTATATGCATATCGTGTACGCTCGATAGGTCATTCATCGTGGGATGAATATTTTACTCTTGTTACGTTAACGAGAGCGAGACTTAACGCATGTCGGGATGGCCTTTGATAACCAGCGGAGATCGGAACATTCGATCGCTGTCTTTTCTCATTTTTTATTTCATCTAACAACAACCATTTCGTTATATCCTGAGGGAAGAATCGTTAGACCATATAAGTATTTTTCGCGAGCGAGAACGTCGGCCGATAGATTTCACTCGCAGCTGTAAATGCGAGTGAGTTTCTTTTATTAATCGAATCACACGTTGCTGTATGCACGCTCGATTGTGATTATCCACTAACAACATATCTAAAGCCACCGTCTTATACGAATAACGAAACAAGAAATTCCAACGTGTGAAGGATTATAACACGTGAAATGATCGCTTATTTTTCTATTTTTCAACGTTCCATTGTAACTTTTGGATTCGTGAAACGTCTTGCTGACGAAACCTCGAGCGATTCTGAATTTTTCGGGTGTGGTCGCAGAAATCGTTCGGAGGGTTAAGAAGGCGGAGTAGCGCGTGTGCTTCGTCGAAGAAAAAGCTAGAGAACTCCGTCCTTTTACTCCTTCAAGAAAGTGTCCTAGAAAAGAAGGAAGAAAATGAGGGTTAAAGGAAGGGAAAGAATTTAGAATTCCCTTATGACGCGACGACGTTACGAAAGAAAAATCTATGGTTGAAAGGAGAAGCATGAATTATTTACTCCTCGCACGATTTCAACCTCCTAAAGATTAAAGAATTTATCTTTTGAATTTACCTTAAAGAATAAATCAATTTTTAATCATATTTTCTATTACTTGCGTGTTCTAATGTTATACTTATTTTAACAAAATGCAGGATTACAAGACTCCTTCTTCCCTTGTTATTATTATTTCGTTCCGGTGGCCGACCGGCTCGGTTCAATGACGAACAACGACTGTATCGTTTACCTCTCGTGCTACGCGCGTCGTACTACGCTCCGTCGGCGGTCTTATACGATCTGACCCGACTTTTATCGACAGCAACATTTCTACTACATCTATTTATACATGTAGTAACATTTATGTATCTACAATGATTCGTTATACCAACGTTTTAAATTGAGGATAGAAGAAAAGTCCGTGTGCCATTTCTTTCAAATGTAAAAGAGAATGCGTTCTATATTATTATAAAATATTAGAGGTATTTTGGAGAAAATTGCATAAATATTGTTTAATGAATGGACCAAATGAATATAGATAAATTATTGAGAAACATAGATTATTTCGAATATCGTCTCGGCGTATGTGGTATTTATTTATCGGCATATCTACTTGCGCGGCTTAAAGAGAGAGAGAGAGAGAGAGAGAGAGAGAGGGAGAGAGGAAATTGGTTTGATAAAGCAATATTTATCAAACAAATTAACAACTTTTTTATTACGCGCGTTTAGAAAATAAATATGAAAATAGTCAAAGTTTCTGCCGAGTACGAATATCGTATAAGGGGTTTCTTATCTTCTTACTTTAGGAATTTTGCGAAGAAAAGGCGTCGTCGTCGTCGTCGTCGTCGTCGTCGGAGAATAGAACGGTATAATTTCCTTTCTTTTCCTTTTACTTTTTTTACTCTTCCGTATTCTTTTAATAACGGGCCATTGCTTATCTTTTCACGTAACAACATTTATTATCGCCACAATGTAATGTAATTCTCAGGGGAAAGAGCCGACGGACAAAGTTTGCGGATCCGACGGTGTGACCTATGAGAACGAGTGCGCCTTGAAGAAGGTTTCCTGCACATCTCAGACTGAAATCGTCATCCATTATATGGGCGACTGTGGTTAGTCATTCTTGTTACCTCCAATTTATAAGTTCTCATATAAATTATTGAACGAGATTAACACTGGATTATGTTAATCGCACGAACACGATTCTACGAACTCGACGTAGACGAGTTTATCCGCGAAAAAGCGAATAGTGAAGTATTTAAATGGTTTTTGCAGAACTTTGTGCGAGGGTGGAATGCGAAAACGGGGGCCGCTGTATGGCAGGAGTCTGTGTATGCCCGGAGATCTGTCCGGAAAGTAACGGAGAGCCTGTATGCGGTAGCGACGCCAAGACTTACCAATCCGAGTGTGAATTACAAAAGGCAGCTTGTGGGAGGGACCCGAAATTGCCGGCCCTGCACGTAATTTTCTACGGCGACTGCGGTGAAAGATTCGCTGTGGCAGCGCTGAGTAAGTTGAAAAATTCCCTTCTCTGAAAACTCTTCCCTATAAAGCTCGTTCGCCGATCGAAGATTCGAACAATGTGTCGGAGGGAGGGGAAAAAAGGGAGCAGAAAAAATAACTTACCCTTCGTCGAAACAATGGATAACGCTCGACAGTCGCGATCGCGAACTAGACGTTTTGCGATTTCAATTGGACAAAAGGACATTGAAGGATCCATTGGAACGGTCATATCGAACGCGCGATCATTCGCCCTGACGTATTTCCTTTCCTGTTTTTTTATTGTTACGTGAAAAGTATTATATATATATATATATATATATATATATATTTTTTTTTTTTTTTTTTTTTTATTTAAAAGACTCATTGCCTTTCGATCAAGCGATCAAGTTTGACCGTACGTTATCGTGCATGCAAATGAATCAACGTTATTCGCGAATTCGGCACAATTTCAATTTCTCCCAATATCCACATGTGCCTACTGGGTATTTCAACGGAAACGATAATGGTACTAGATGCGCGTTAAACGTTAAAATCCTACAATTTGCCAAATTTTACAACTCCTATAATGCATATTATAAATAATTATAAACGAAGAGGCTAAATTTTAATACCTACTTAGTATTATTATTACGATTATTATTACGCGAATGCTTCAATAAAAGCTCCTATTAATTACTATTCGTTATAACGCTATAATCCACTGATTCTTATTAATCTAACCGCTTTCTAAACTCTCTCTCTCTCTCTCTCTCTCTCCCCCTTCTCCCCGTCTCCGTCTCTTTCTCTCCTTGTCTCTTCAAACCGCTCGAAACAGCAACGATGTCAACGCCGGCACTGACACGCGTAGCCACCACGGTCGCCGACGTTACCAGTACTCAAGAACGAGAGGCTTGCAAGGACATTCATTGCGATTTCGAGGCCACGTGCGAACTCGGACCAGATAAATTTCCAAGATGTAGCTGCCGATTCGACTGTGCCTCGATATCGCCGGAAAATATGCGCCCGGTTTGCGGGAGCGATCTCAGAACATACTCGTCTCTTTGCGCGATGAAGATGGAGGCCTGTCAGCGACAACAGGAGTTACGACTGAGGCCCCTTGATCTTTGTCAAGGTTGGCCAACTTAGTTGCATATTAACAATGCTTCCTGCTATTATTATTCTTTCCCCATCCTTTGACGATAATAATACGTGCTAACTTTGTAACATATATTTGTAGTTTTGTGATAAATTTCGAAGATAAAAGAAGCTTATTGTACTTTTAAACTTAATTTGACTTTTATCACGCATTCAGGCATGGAGGTAAAACCTTGCAACGGAGATCCGCCATTGATAGACAGCGATGGCAAGGAGTACGACTGCGGAAGCGGACCTGATCGTAGAGATTGTCCTAGCAATACCTATTGTCATCAAACTCCACGATTCGCTCGTTGTTGCAAGAAAGGTAATGTAGCCCCAGTTAATCGGTACGAAGAAAACAATAAAAATAAAATGGCCACTTTCGCGTTAGTCCAAGGAATTCAAGTGGTCAAGTGCTCGGATTCTTGGCATGGCTGCTGTCCGGACGGTAAAACCGCAGCGCTTGGACCGGATGGCGCTGGTTGTCCCAGTTCGTGCAATTGTAACAGACTGGGTAGCGTATCTGACACCTGCAATCCGGAAACCGGACAGTGCGAATGTCGACCAGGAGTGGGTGGTCTCAAGTGCGACAGATGCATGCCAGGTTACTGGGGATTGCCAAAGATCAGCGAGGGACATCAAGGATGTATACGTAAGACGGATGATTATCCTTCGGGCGCGTTCAAGCTCTTACATTTGATAAAAGTCATTAGGACTACGACTACGACCTCGTCTATAAACCCTTCTACATACATATATATATATATATATATATATGTATGTATATATATATATATATATATACATACACTGTATGTATGTATACGTGTATGTATATATTTTCTTTCTTCTTTATATTCCTCCACAGCCTGCGGTTGTTCACTGTTTGGGTCCGTCCGGGAGGATTGCGAGCAAATGACCGGACGTTGCGTCTGTAAGCCCGATATTCAAGGACAAAAGTGTACAATCTGCACCGATCACAATAAAATACTCACGCCTACCGGCTGTTATTCAGGTATATAAAAAGGGACTCTTGGCGATAAGTAAAAAAGAAAATATTAGTTTTCGTCTTAATCGATAGTATCCATCTGTACCGCTTAAGATCCCCTTAAGATTCGAACGATGAAAGTGGCGCTTCGCGTATCGTTGGAAGATACTCGAATGAAAGGTCCTTCGAGAAGATTTAACGTTCCATTTTGGTGTGTTCCCAGCCGACACGATACCACCGATACCAACCTCTTGCAAGGAACTGGAGTGCTATTCCGGAGGACATTGTTCCGAAATAGGCGGTCCACACTGCGTCTGTCCGTCCTCCTGTCCAACGGACATACCGTTGGTACCGGTTTGCGGTAGCGACGGACAGACCTACGACAGCGAGTGCGAACTACGTCTCTACGCGTGTCGTCACCAGGCGGACGTGGTGACCCAGGCCTTTGGTCACTGCAGAGGTGGGTTCACTGAGCGTACGCCGCACAGGCCTCTTTACATTCTACGTTACTGAATATTAGCAATTCTCTCTACGTTTCGACGACACTAGCGCTAAAGACGAGGAAAAAAAAAGAAACAAAAAGAAAAGAAAAAGAAGGGAGAAGAAAATGTCGCGTCAGGATTCAAATTAGATCACGTTAGGAGCGTAAACCTAGCTGCGTTTACCTAGGCTACTACTGCGTTTCTCAACGTCTACTTGTTGTCTTTGATATTCGCTCGGGCTATCGTACGACACGCCCGATCGATACGACTCATCTCATCGCTCGATGTTTATGTATTATAATCGGATACGTGTCTATAAAAGATATTGTTAATCCATAGAAGAGAAAAAAATCCAATGAGTAGAAAAGGTTGTTAGCTGAACAACGTTGAAGCGTCTGTCGCGCTTCCGTAGAGTTGCTTTAACCGTTGTTTCTTTGTTTATTTCTTTTTTTTTTTTTCTTTCTTTCTTTTTCGCGTTTGAACAAAAGAAAACGATCGTACGCGTGATAGAGAGAATACCACGAGGAATTAATCTGCGGCAGCTTTTATTTCCTTTGTATCCAAAGGTGATAATAAACTCATCAACTTTTTACTGATATGTATATATTTATATGTTTATAACCCCTGCACCTCTTTAACCCGAAGCCCACACTTTTTTCGGCACACTTTGCTTCCTCTCGGCGATCGATTTCGGTCCCCCATCCCCTGGCGATTAAAGCTGGGTGCGCAACGGATCGAGCGATCTCCACAGGACGACGAGAAGGAAAGGAAGCAAAGCGCGTCGAGTCGTTTTCCAAGACGCCTACCCGCAAACCCTCGAACCGGTATCGCCTATTGTGCATTACGTTTGACAGTTATTGCTTTCATTAATCAAACTTATCACGCAGAATATCCGTGAGGGGGCACACGAGTCAACGCGAGCGCACGAGTACGCTCATTTTACGTCGGTAATTAGTTTCCCAACTCAAATATGAGCGTTGGGCTCTGACAAATTGAAACCACGAAATCGACCCAATTCAGACTTTGCACAACGTTCCTCGATTCGGCGAGCATATTACGTTACCATTTGAAAATATAAAGTCTGATAGGAAAGCTAGTAGTTCATTCACGAATAGACACAAGCCATCGAGTACAACTACCGATTTGACTAAATCATATTTTAGATTCTCCTTGCACGTGTTCGTTATTATTGTATCTAACGGATTCATAAAAAAGGAAAATTATTCTGCTGCCAGATTTGTATTGTTAAGCACAGAAAAAGAAACGTCCCGTCTTTGCACAACGAACGATTCCCGAAGTATCCAACTGAAATCGGTTTCTGCGTATCGGCGTAGCTCTGCCGAATAAAAAGAGGCCATGCAATTAATCGTAGAGTAATGGCGACTACGTTCAAGGTAACACGATCGATATCGGAGAGTTCCTTTTAACGAGCGCGACCGGGTTGATGGTAAACCAAAGAAAGAAAAAAAGAAAGCAAAAGAAAAGAAACGGGAAGAGAGTAAATACGGTAAGACGCTGCATTTCCCGTTGTTGGTTTTTCCCTTTTGACTCCTCGACACCTGCATTACCTTTTTCCTTCCTGCCTTACGGAAAAGTTCGTAAAACGTAACGTCGAAATCTATTAAACTCGCCGTGTCCCATTCCGTAGTCCTTATTTTTGATTGCCCAGTCATCCGACCGACGTGTCCTCCCTACGACACGAAATTCGATTCGACCGTTCGACTTTGCGTCGAAGGAAGTCAATTCCTTAAAAAGTTCTTCTTCGTCGAGCTCCCCTCTCCTTCTTGCTTCTCGGGAATCGAACATAAATCACATTACGTTGCGTTACGGTGCACCTCACCTCTTGCATCGCGTCTTTTCCTTTCCCTCTTTGATTCCTCTTCGACTATATTTGCCTACTAGAGGTATGGACCCATCCCTGGAGTTTGTCTATACGTATACGAAAGGGATGAAAATAGGACACTGAAATGATGAAAGAGAGAGAGAGCGAGAGAGAGAGAGAGAGAGAGAGATGTGCAAACGTCGAAGGAACGATGTGAGAGATAGCACTTTGCTTCCTGTAAATAATGCATGCTGTAATTTCTGGGGGGACTACTCGTGGATCTCCGGTCGCTCGAAAGGAGCCAACCGACGATCACTTGGATATCCTGAAAGCGTGACGCCTTTGATGGTCGCGCGAGTAATAACGATCGAGTTACCGTCGAGGATACGGTAACGAGGGAATTGATCAAAGTGAGGAAACGAGGGAACTCTGGGTTCTCTCTCTCTCTCTCTCTCTCTCTCTCTCTCTCTCTCTCTCTCGCTTCCTTTCCTCGCCTTCCCATCTTACTTACGCCGATGCTTATTACATTTCACTCTGTCCAGAGTTTGTAAACGTTCGTCCTAGGACGGTTTTTTCTTTTTTCCAACATAATATTTAAAAGAAAACCATTTGTAGATAATTATAATATACAGATACATCTCCCGTGCAAGTGGCCAAAATAGTTTTGTCAATTTCTCTATAACAGACTTCAAATCTTTTTTCTTCCTTCGTACGTAAGTATCAATACAAATATGTTTCTATTCATTTTGGAGAAATATTAGAGACAATGAAAAATTGATTGTAAGGAAAAGTAAATTTATTTGGATGCTTTTCTCTCTTTCTCTCATCTTTCGTAGCAATTAAATAAGCTTGGTACGCGAGGATACACGATCATCTTGCAAACTCCGGGAAATAAAATGTCATGTAAAAGTAGAAAAGTAAAAAAGAATAAAAAAATAAAAGAGAGAGAGAGATCTTGCAAACTCCGTTGATCGTATTCTCATGTCCTTCGAATGCATAATAAAAAAAGCTATAGACAAAAATAAAAATAAATGCAGATATTACAAGGATCCTTCGAATGAAACACTGTTTGATAGCTAATAATGCATTCGATCGATAACAATGCATTTTTGATTCTCTGATAAATTCGTATTTGGTAATAGAAGAGAACCGCAATGATTCGTTAGTTATCTTATCTCTTTTTAATCTCGGAGGGGCAAAGCATCCTACCCTAGGTTTTGAATACGTGGAATATACACGAGCAAGATCAATTTCGAAAGCGGATGCTTTCGAAAAAGAATCAAAACAAAGAACGAAGCAAAGGAAAGGCGGAACCTCGTATTTTTCCTTAAATTAACCAAAATCGTTTACACGGAGACCACTTTGCAAGCTTTCTACCAAACATTTATCTATACGTACATTTTCGATACGCCTACGTATGCGATCGAAGAGAAAGAGAAAGATACCGACGGAGATAGAAAAGTGGACGCAAAAAAATAATACAAAGAAGAAAAAAGAAATCACGAAAATCGTCGAAGAGAAATAATAGGAAACAACGTTGCAATTGGAAAGTAATTAAAATCCCATCAAGCCACCACTCCACCGTTAAAACTTTTGTTACTCGCGGCTTGACTCACGGTCTACGAGTCCAATGAGTCGATAAGATTAGCTTTTGGATTCTCATTATTTACAGAAATTGCTATGCATCGAGGCACGTTTGCTAGAGTCACGCGTTCCTTTCTCTCTCTCTCTCTCTCTCTCTCTCTCTCTCTCTCTCTCTACGTCTCCTAAATCGAGGCAAGAACGCAGATACGCAGAAGGTAGATGAAAATTGATCATTGAAAATCTGAATGTTTTAATAATTTTATTAAAACGTCAATGGTGCGTAGCGTCGATTAACAACGATTATTCGAGATCAAACGCGTTTGAAGAATCGATCGTTCGCATTATTGATCCTGTAAAAATGACGATGTAAATATGACCCACAAACGATCCCTTTTAATGAGATTGCTTTCAGTCACGGATTAATTGGGCCAAATATATATTTATTCTAACCGCAAACCCATCGTTTTCCATATTGGTAATTAATTTATTTAATCTCAAACAAATCCCATGAAAGATTCTTTTATATCTAATTAACATCGATGTAATTAACATTCTCGACATTGGTGCGGTTTTTAATGAGATCGCACCAAAAGGATTAAAAATAGATAACTAGATATGATTAAAAGGATAGAACTAAAACGTCGCGTCGCTTCTTCGTTCTTAGACGAAATAATAATACGTACGTGTGACGATAAGAAGATGCATCCTTTCAAAAAGGGATCGATTTCTGAGAAGCAAAGCGAATGTTATTTCAACTTTCAGACGATCCTCTCGTGAATACGGACTTCCCCGTTAAGAGATACACAGCCGTGCAATACACCCAACCGGCAGCCGCTATTTCGCCATTATCTAAATCTACCAGGCACCTTTTGGTCCCAGAACCAGATCCACGATACTATTACACTCATCGAGCTCATCAAGAAACCATCACCATCGACAGAGATAACCTTAAGCACGGTACGTAACGATAAAATAAGAGTTCCTATCACTTATGTGTATGTAGGTATCATCATGTGTTGTTTTGTATAGAAAAGCAACAAAAAAGAAAAAAAAAAAAGAAAAAAAAATAATAATAAGAAACGCTGTTAAATGACAATATTTTCCCGTCATTTTTTCCAATCAATATTTTACAAATACAATATTTTAAGGCTAATTCCATTACTTTAATAAATTGGAATTTTAAACACGTGGGAATTGTAAACACGATGATTAGTTCGTTCAGAGTCGTCAAGTTGGTCGGTTAATTCGATGGGGTTAATCGTTAATCGATTTTTCAGGAATCGCTGCGGCATATCGGCCGACACCCGCTACGATTAGAGTCGTCACGGCGCTTCTCGGTGATCTCTGCACCGACGATAAGGATTGTACGATTCCGAATAGCGAATGTTCCAACGGAGGTTGCATCTGTTCCGAGGGTTACGCGGAAACCAGTGATAGACAAGAGTGTTTCGGTAAGAAATGTTTAACGAGAAAAAAATTTGGCAGATTATATTTCGTCCTTGGAAAGTAGAAAAATTTACTAAATATTACCGTATCATCGTATTATCGGGATCGAGCGTAATCAAATAATTTCGTCATTCGTACACACACACACACACACACACACACCTGAGTAGGTGTTCGACTATTTTCCTCGTATTACGTTAATAGATTCAATTTACAAGATGATACATGCAATACCTACATAATGTACACGTAATCTAATATGTATCACGTATATATTCACGAGTACATCCTCGTACTCGAAAGTGCGTTTGATTCGTACGTAATTGCTTCCGAAATACCGACGGCAAGCAACAACAATCGCGTCTCAATTTTCATCGCAGCCAATTACGTGCCAGTAACACCGACGGAGGAATTTCGTGCCTGTCTCTCCTATCCTTGCCACATGACATCAACGTGCATCGACCTGCCGAGCGCAACATTCGTCTGCATCTGTCGGCCGAATTACACGGGACTGCTCTGCGACGAAGAGATAAACAAGAGAGATTACGAGGTACCTTCCTTCGACGGTAAGAGTTACGTCAGAATGAACAGACTAAAGGCCTATCATAAGTTCAGCATCGAGGTCGAATTAAAGACCTACGCCGACAACGGAATCATACTTTACAATCAGCAGAAGAGCGACGGGACCGGCGATTTCGTTTCTCTCGCTATCGTCGACGGGTAAGATTCTCTCCTCGTTCGATATAATATATTCACGGCTATTATCATCGACGTAGGCTATATTATATTATATTTACGTTGGCCACGTCGTGGCAATTTTTCAGACACGTACAATTTAGATACAATCTTGGCAATGGTCCGGTTATCCTCACTTCGCCGGAAAAAGTCACCATGAAGACCTTCCATAGGGTGGCAGCAAAAAGGTATCACAAAGACGGAGTACTGATATTCAACGATGGCGAGGATATCGTCGGGCAGAGCCAAGGGGTCCTTAAATCCTTGGATCTGAATCAGGATACCTACGTTGGGAATATGCCCAGCAATTATTCAAAGTGAGACGCAAAATTATATAGAGATTAGCAATGTTAATGGAAAAATATTGATATTTTGTTTGTAATCTTTGACAGAGTCTATGACAATATCGGCACCAATCACGGTTTCCTCGGATGCATACGGAAGTTAAAGATCAATCGTATATTCGTGGACCTGCACGTTGGACAAGATAAGGACGTTTTAGAGACATATCGCGTTAAGGAATGCGGTGACAACGCTTGCGCCAATCTTCCCTGTGAGAACGGAGCGACTTGCCAGCCGATCTACGAGGAGGATCTTTGCAATGGCCGCGAATGTCGTAGATTGCAAAAGAGGGGTAAGAATAGGATTAATAAAAAAGCTCGGAAGAACGGCTTAAACATCGTCAGGTGTAAGGGCTCGCATTGCGCCTCGATCGATCAGCCAAGATCGAAGAAGAATTCGAAAAAACGTTGCGTTGGTACTAAGTGCGATTACGACTACGATCTCGATTACGAGGGGAGTTTCGAGCGTGGAAATTATGCGAGCGTCGAAAAGTACGAGCCGCCGGATTACAAGTGCATTTGTCCACCCCAATTCACCGGCCGAAATTGCGAGGAATCATTGGATCCTTGCATCGACGAGCCCTGCCAACATGGTGCGACTTGCGACATACTGCCCCAGGGTGGATACGTATGCAAGTGCCCACCCGGTAGGACCGGCGTTCATTGCGAAATTCGTGAGTAGCCAAAAACAAATATTTCTTCTTCTCCGAACGAATATTTTCTTATCAACAGTTTCCAGTTGTAAAAGGGATAGTTATAAAAATCGCGATTCGTTTCATAGTGGACGCGGAATTAACGGAACTGTTAATACCAGAAATGTCCGGCGACGGTTTTCTCGAATTGCCATGCCTCGAAGGAGTCGCCAAAGCCTTTTCCATCGAACTATGGTTCCTCGCTCGCGTCAACGACGGTCTCTTGTTATACAACGGCCAGTTGAACAACGGAAGAGGCGATTTCATCAGTTTAAACTTGGTCCACGTAGATTGGAGTTCAGGTTCAATCTCGGAAGTGGTATCGCCAATATCACGTCCCCGGATATCGTTACTCTGGACAGTTGGCATTGCGTTAGGATAAGCAGACTCGGAAGGGAGGGCGTTCTTCAATTGGACGACGGTACGGTGGCAAGAGGACTCTCCGGGAGTCCTCTGACGGAGTTGAACTTGGAGATGCCTTTGTACGTCGGTGGCGTCAAGTAAGTATTTATTCTATTCGCTGTCTTCTCGATATCTTACGATCGGCGGGGTGGCGTTATCACCGATCATGCCTTTTCAGACATTGGAGAGAGGTACACCGTTTAGCTGGAGCTTGGACCGGATTAACCGGAGCCGTTCAAAGGCTAATGGTTAACGGCAAGACTTATCAAAATCTTGCCGTAAACGTGACGCAACACAATACCGAGATTTACGACGGGTTACCTTGTCCGAGCAACGAAAATCCTTGTCACAACGGTGGCGTTTGCCTTCCACTCTTGAACAGTTATCTCTGCAAGTGTGCCAGCGGCTACAACGGGTTGCATTGCGAGTTTTGTAAGTTTAAACCGTTTCTCGTCAGACAAAATACGAGAGATTTCTTAAGGATCGTTAAAAATCTTACTCGTTTCAGTTATGGGATACGACGTTTCCGGCACAGAAATTTCCGAGAGACCGGTACGATTCGACGGCGACAACTTTTTGCAATTTAAACATCGTTACGGTAGAAGGTACGTACATCGATCGAAATCCAAATCTCTTTTGCTTTTAAAAATCGATTTCGATGGAAACAGCTAAGACAGATTTAAGAGAGCGGTCGAGCGAGCGTGCGGTCGAGACAGACAGACAGACAGAGAGATGGAGAGAGAGAGAGAGAGAGAGAGCGAGAGAGAGAGAGCGAGAGAGAGAGAGAGAGAGAGAGAGCACCAAAGTCCTAACAACCATAGAAACGCGTAGTTCGCTTTAACAAACCCGTTTAAGCGAAATCACTAATATTTTGATTATGTAACACTCCAACTAGTACTAACACAACTAACACCACCCTCGGCGAATATTTTGAGGAGTCCTATTCCGATTACGACTTGGAGGAGGACGGAGAGTACGAGTACGACAGTTACGATTATACGGAGTAAGTTTCTGATTGCTGTCACAAATGTGTACGCGTATGTGTGTTAGAGAATGCTTATTCCTTCTAGACCGCCTACAAGAGAACACGCACGTTCGATCGAGAGCAACGATCCATCTCCTGTTTCTTTACGTGTGTAATATGTCTCACAGTGAGAAATTCTTTCTTCGCGCTTTTTGATCGCAGCCACCTTCGTCCTTGCTCCTTGCTTAATACATAAATATATATCTATTAATTATGTATCACAGCTTGACTCGTCAATTGTGTCGTAATCTTATATAGGTAAATACCAGATAAAGTATACGTGTCGAATGATTTTAGACGCAAGGGACAACAATCGAACAAGTTTGAGTTGCGACTGAGAACGATTCATTCGGAGGGTCTGATCGCTTGGATCGGAAGGGGAAAACTCGAACATCTTATACTTTCTTTGCGCGGAGGATACGTCGTTCTTTCTTACAAGAGTAAGACGGAACAGATAAGCGTGAAAAGTAGGGTAAGTAAATTATCGAGAACGCGAGGATGTATGTATATATATATATATACATACGTATGTTCGGCCGCGATCGACATTGCCCGGATACAATCGTAATAAAAGTTTTTCCTTCGTTCGTTCTAGGAAAGAGTCGACGACGGTGTTTTCCATCACATAAGAGCGAGTAGAAGAAGGCGCGCCTCGACGATACAAATCGACGAGTTTGCACCGGTGAAGATGCCAATGGAGACCGGAACGTTACTTACGACCAACGGTAAACTATTCGTTGGTGGTAAACCGGGACATCGAGGTATCAAGGGCTGCGTCACGGACTTTATAGTCGACAAGCGTCGATTGCAATTGATCAGACGAAAGATCGACTTTTGTCACGACAACGACGTATGATGATAACGAATCGCGGAGACGATCCGACGATTCGTCCGATTCACAGTCTCTCTTCTCCTTTGTCCGTGTTCGTCGTCTGGTTCGTCCGGATTAAGCCCAGGCTTTTTTTATATAAGCCCGAGCGAACGTGTATAGACGACGAGAGGAAGAGGAACAGAGCTCAAGAGAGATTCGACGAACGGATCGAATCGTCGAACAGATCTTTCTTTCTTCCTTCCGGCTTCTCGATATTCTCGATCGGGCGAAGCCCCTGCGACTTTCTCCAATTCTATTATCGTTCGCTCCGAACGATCACGATTCCTGCCAAAGTCCTACATCGCGAGGAAGCTAGCTCTTCTTCGTACGTCTCGCGATTGCCATACTCGATCCGTTATAATATTTTTTGCTTCGAACGGTCGTCGTTGTCGTGTGTCTCTTTTTCGAACGACGCGTGCGCCCACGCGCGCACGCGCGAGACAGAGAGAAAGGGAGAAGAAAAGTGCTGCAAGCGCGCCAAAAGTGCTGCGTTTTCATCGAAAGACAATAATATATTTTTAAGCTGATACGATAATTATATGCATAGTATTATATTATATATAATATATGTATATGTATGTACGTATACTCGCGCGCGAGATTATTCGAGGAAGAATAAAAGCGCGTCACGCGCATCACGCGCATAAAACGAGCAGAAAGTAAGAATGGGCGAAATAAGCCTTCGACCGAGATACTCGTATTTAAATATTTACGATAAGCTATGCTAATGCACTTAAAGAGCAAGATAATAACATACAACACTTAACATTGCCAAGACTGAATAAATATCGGGACGAAAGAAATCTTAGAGACAGAGAGAGAGAGAGAGAGAGAGAGAGAGGCGCTAATTTGGTGTTACGTTTGAGTGTTTGATAGAGAGATTTAATGAATATGGATTTCCAGAAAATAGACGAATGTACTTTAATGGAGCCGTTAATTTATGCCCATAGCCCCATATATGTACGCGGAACAAATATGAAAGGAGCATAGATTCCTTATACACACGTACAAACGCTGACATACACTTACACGGTCAAGCACACGATGTAACGTACACGCTGTTGTTTTTGGTAGGTGAGGCTTTTTACAAAATGCGCAGAAAGAATAGATGTATTATAAATATATATATATATATATATATATATATACTTTATACGCACACACACACACACACACACACACACACATCTATTATATATATATATATACCGAGTACATTCCATGTTACGGTGGGATAACACACGTGGTAAGTGAATGCGCGCCTATGCATTAGCAAATGTACGACGAAAATGATGATCCCAAGAAAAAACCCCGCTTGCGTGTGTTAATCCAACGATCCGAGCGAAGATATGTGTGTGCGTGAGCGTGTGCGTGCGATTGATAGATGGAGATATACCATGTCGTATGTGCGTACGCTAGTTCTGTAAATAACCAATATATACGTATTCGGATCGTTGATTTATCGATTACAAAGCAATGAACGTTTAGAGATGTACAGAATACTGGAACTAAACGAATGTAACGACTTAATAATCGTAACGTTTCACGAATTAGCATTTACATGCGCACGCGCCGTTTTAATTTATGCGTCAAGCCGATGCGATGTGTTCTTCCGTACTGGGACGAAAACGTCTTAATAACAACGCCTAAGATAATTGTTAATCGTTACTTTTTATCGATTAGAAAATACGTAAGCGCGGCTGAACGCACATATTTTCGATTGTTAGCGATCTGGCTCGTTCCCTCTCTGGAAATATACGAATTTTATCTCGCGCGTCGCACTTCGTTGACGGTGCACGAACGCCTAAGTTCAAACTCTATATCAATAAGGTTCGATACTCTATTTTCGTTGTACATGCGTTGTACATCTTTTAACGTCCTATCCATCGAATTTTTCATTTCTGCGAAAATACGTAAGCGCGTGCCCGATTTTACGGGCTTACATGAAATCTATTGTTAATCGACGTTTACTGTTTTTTACCATTTAAGAATGCGATTGATTATAATTTAAATATTAATAATTGTTATATAGAAGATCGCTCTATAAGAGATAATATCTTCGAACGAAAAGTAATAAAATATTGTCTATAATCGTTCAACGATGAAACTTTAACGGATAACGCCTAATTCCAATAAAAAGCTTGAAAAAGGTTAAAAAGCTTTGGATTTGCGAAGAACGATTCTAGATACGATAATTCTAGTACGTCGAATCGTCATTAAACGTGATCTCGACGAAGTCAACGGTTACGCGCGAAGAATAAAACGATACTAATCTGATAATTAAGGCACGCGATATCATACCCTTATTACCTGTTTATCGTTATCGCCTGAGAAGAATAAAATATTACTTCTCGTCAACGTAAGGTACGAATTATCAAGCAATTCCAAAACATATCCCTCTTTTGAGATACGCAAGTATTTACATACATATGTATACAATGTATATCTTCGTTTACATACAGTACGTACACATATCCTTTCCCATGCATTTCATCGTTGACATATCGAACTAAATGTTTCGTATGGTCCAATAACGAGTCGCTGCGAACGAACGAATAACAACGAATGGGGGCGATTGAACGTGAAAAAAAAATTATATATATATATATATATATATTTTTTTTTTTCGAGAACGATCGTTGGTCGCGATTCGGAACGAGCAACCGTGTGGGAACAAATGGAAAAGACCTAATGTAACGAATAACTTTACTGCCAATCTAATTAGAGATTCCGTCTTTTTCTCGGCCATCATGGTGTTGCTCGGATGATTATATGATAAGATTTCTAAGCGAGGAGAAGAGAAGAGAAGAGAAGAGAAGAGAAGAGAAGAGGATGATAAATGGACGCTCGAAAGGAAAGACCGAAGAGAGAAGAAAATTATTCGCAAGATACGCGTTCGCGCTTCGACTCCTTAAACGGATAAACGTCGCCAAGATATTTTCCTGTGTAAAATATACGCAGCTGGGCACACGAATTTACACAGGATACGAATGCACACGTCTCTTAATTAGTTTTTTTACTTTGGATACCGTCGTTAACGCGCGACCATTTTTGGCGCTACCTGTCCTAAATACTGGAGCTACACTATGTAACAAAGTACACTGTGCATTGTAAAGTGATTGTATATACAATTATAAATTATGCGATTACCTTGAAATTTTGGCTCTGGTCATTCCCCTCGCCCCCTCTCTTTCTCTCTTCCTCACTCCGTCCATCTATCTCGTTCTCGTTTCTCTTTTCACGGGGGAAAAAATACGTACCCATAGATTTAATATAAATTTATTCATTTATTTCTAATAATTTCTTTAGGCGTGTAATATCACATTAAACGAATCGAGTTTATCGCAAAATATTTACATCGAATCGCACTCACGCACATCTCACATACTGGTCATTCACATTCTGTTACGTCCTGAATAATGTTACAGATATAATAAATACAACGGCACAATAGAATAGTAAATTCTCCGATAGGGAAGGAACCGATGGAAGGCATCGATTTAAGGCACCGCGTAGAAATTCGTAAAGGGTGGTAACCGTGCATTAACTGATCGGTATATCTTTGGTGATTTCTTGAAGCCGCCTGTTGAAGTCCTCGCGTATCTCGACGATCGGTTTCACTAGGAATATTGGCACGTCGTCGTCCCTTCTCTAGAAACGATACACATACGAGAGTATAAAACATGAGAAATATTTCTTATTGATTCTCTCATCTATTAATGTCATATTTTGGTCATACTTTATATTTACTTATTTACCTGGAAAAGGCATTCTCCCTCGAATTTAATCAGACCCTGTTTTCTGGCTCTTAAAAGAAGACCCACGCATTTGTCGCTTATGTGAGTGTAAATGTTGAAGAGATCGCCGAACGTGATGCCGGTGATATCTGGTTGGTCGCTACATGGCGTACCATTTTGATAAATGATATTGCACAGCTCTAAAATTTCTCGTAGAATATGCGCGTTAGCTTTGCGACCGCGTATGTCGGAAAGAGATCCCGCGGCTGGTCTGAAATGTAGACACAATCTTTGGACGAATACTTTCAAATAAAACTGACTTGAGCGCGAAATCTTATCGTATATCACTTAAATAACTCTCGCGTGCGCTAACTAGTACGTATTACGTACCTGCCGTATTCCTCTTTCGAGAATTTTGGCTTTTCGATATTCAAGCCGGACGTAAATGGATTTTTCTTCTGTGCGTCTTTGTGCTTGTTTGCGTATTGGTCGAACATGGCTACTTTGGCCCCCAAGGATTCCTAAAGCCCGATTGCAAAGAGAGAGAAAGAGAGAGAGAGAGAGAGAGAGAGAGAGAGAGAGAAAAGAAATGAAAATTAATTCGGAGACTTTTCTTGATCGAAACTTTGGTTAACAATGAAAATACGAATATTATTAATCGATTTGTTAATCGTTAAGCGCGAAATGAATAAGAATATCGTTACAAGCGGTCGACGATAACAATGCTCAAACATGACTGAACGCAATAGAAGGGACAAAATAATAAATAGTATCTATGTCGTTGGACGATACTTAGGGGGCTTCTAAGCATAAAAACGGCTTCGATGAACGGCTTATCACGATGGTACGTAGTAACTTTCTATCTTACATATAACAGAATCATTTTTTTATCGTATTAACATAGATAACAACAATTGTTTTCTCAAGATTTCTCGAAAGATTTGAAATTTGCTTTTTCATATTTCAACGAAATCACTTATAATAGAAACGAAAAGAATAAAATGTAAATGAGAAAAAGCATTGTGTGGCAATGTCATCCGACGTAAGCGAGCCTAATCAGTATGGAATGTTGGAAAAAGTCCAATCTTCTTAGAAGAACGGTCCGCGAATTGACCGTGACCATAAAAGACGTCTCGATGGCATTTTGACAAATTTTCGAATTTATCCTGACTGCTACGTGGATTCGTACGAACGGCACGTGATTACTCGCACGAGATTTTTTGCGTTTGTATTTTTTACAATCGAAAGATGGTAAAACGTTGCAACGTTTGCGATAACAATTCTTTCTATAGACGAATTAATAGAAAAATGTATCTGTCCTCTCTCTCTCTCTCTCCCTCTCTCTCTCTCTCTCTCTCTCTCTCTCTCTCTCTCTCTCTCTCTCTGTAAAGATAAATTTCCTATGACGAACTATATTAGGGTGAGATCTAGGGTTAACGTATTAGATTATACATCAAATATTATAAGTCAGATCGATATCCATTCACATTCCGTGTATATGAATTGAATTAACGTGAGAAAGTAAACAAGAGCGATACTCACGAACATTACCGAAGACATGATTAAAGCCGTAGGTAATCGTACGAAGAAACGATGTATTAATACTGATTTGTAATAATAACGGAATAATTGATTATCACGTTGTCTAGGAGAGAAGGTTCTTTCGCAATATTCGTACGTTTGGAAACACTTTGCCGCTAACGTTTCGCGTATTTCTTAGATACTTGATGATTGTACATGAGTACGTAAGCCGGCCGGCGTTTCTCTTATGAATGTGCCGTCGCGACGTTGTGCGTCTTTTTATAAGAAGGAGGCGACGTCAAAAATCTCCCACCGAAGGTAGACCGCGGACGCGCGACGAGCCGAAATATTTTCTGCTTATTCGAGCCAATTCCGTATGAATCCTCGCTTTTTGATTGGCTGCCAGCCGATTCTCTATCTCCGGAAGCGAATGTTTTCTCTATTCAGAGGAACAGAACGTGAATTCGATGGATTTCATTCATCTTCTCTCCGTCTCGAATTATTTTTGTTTTTTGCTCGCCCCTCGAGGACGAACTAAATGTTTGTTTTGACGACCGAGGAGTCCGAATTTTGCTCAGAGAATACGAACCATTTCTTTCTTCATCGCCTCTCACCTCGCTTCATCGCCGTCGAGATAATTATACTTTTTTCCCCGAGCGATACGACTTTGATCACGCATTTAGTCTTTCGGTCGGCTTTTTTTCCTTCGATTTCTATCAAGTTGTCCGTAGACGAGGAAAAAATATCACGTAAATACGAATGAATGAGACCGCCATTTCAGGATGATAATTTGGTCATAATGAAAATTCACACCTATATACATATGTACATATGTGCATAGGAAATTAATAATGTCTCACGTATAAAATAAGGCAGTTGGTTTTTTTTTTCTTAAATTATCGAGGAGCCCATCTCGGTCGTCCGCGTCGACGGTCGCTTATATGATTTCTCTCTCTCTCTCTCTCTCTCTCTCTCTCTCTCTGTATCTATCACACTGCGACACAAAACTGCGGGAGTTTAGATCGTTACTTCGTAGGGTAATAAATTAATCCCGGCTAAAACTTAATCCAAGATATCAAAATGGCACTACGAATCTACCTCGGGTTTCTAACGTAAGTACGAATAATTGTGATATATCTAGCTACTTTAATGTTACTTGGCAGCGCTGATGCTAGCTCGAAGAAATTTCTTCAAAGAGCACGCTTTTGTCACGTGAAGCTCTCTAAGATCGCAAATTATTCATAGAGATGTGAAACGAAAAGAAAGAATCAGCATTCTATGACTTTTCTTTGAAAATTTTCTGTTACGATCTAAATCGATGAGTCACGGTGCAGGGGCGCGAGTAAAATTACTTTACCAAATATCGAGCGCGCTCGAGATAGATTTACATAGATCGCCACTTGTACCGGCACAACCGATATCGATGCGATTATTGATACGATTTTGTATCAATTACACCTATCTACCTGTATGTATAACGCTATTGACGACCTTCAGAGATGATAATCCTTTAAATTGGTCAAATTGTAATATAAACGTGTCGGTTGTCTAACTACTCGAGATTCGAGTAGTTAATATAAAGCTTTACGAAATTAATTATAATTTGTGTTGGAAATTAAATCAATGTCCGTTAATTATAAGAATGTTGAGAGTCGTGCGTAGAAAGTGCGGATCGTGCCCGTTATAAAAAGACATTCAAAAGGAGTCGGTTTGTGATTTATAAATTGCCTTTGAATTCTCTCAAAGCGCAAACGCCCGGCCGGAAACACGAAATTAGATATCTGTTTTACGTCGCGTCCCGGCATCAATGAACGGCTACGTCAGAGACCGTGACGGTGCGATGATGCTTTCTCACTATAATAGTAAATGCAAATTCTTGGGATGTGTACGAGTGTGAGTCGTCGTTATAAACTTGTAAGTATGTACGATCGGAGTATCTAAATTTATCCGCTGTTTATGCTTCATTATAAATGAAGATTTTTCGATAAACCGATCTCCATCGATTCGCTTAAATTTCTTAACATATATATTTCATCGACGTTTCTCAATTGATTGGCATTTTGCAAATAGAAGAAGGCGCAGGCTCGTTGATATTTTTAATATCGACGATTAGTAAATTATAAGAAAATAATGTAAGATGGAAGAGAGGGTGTATATCATACGTCGGCCGTCTCCGTTTTAAGACGACGACGATTCGAGTTCAGAGTCCTTCGAGAGGTAAATGGCCCTTGTACGTTCTTTCGTTCGCCTTGTCAGCGCGTGCACGAAAAAAGCTCTCATCCCAAAGAATGCAATAAAACGAAATCCCTGTGAAACGAGTCGAAGCTAACCTAACGCAACGCACGAGATCAGAGGTCGACCACGTGCTAACTATAAATAATTCCCGAGTGCTACTTCGTTCAAAACACTGTGCGGTACGATGGTGGATCGTGGTCGTGCCCTCTCTCCACCTCGCGCCATGCTCCTTTAGCGGCGTCCTAGGCTAAGTCTACCCTACCTCCATGAAGCAGCAGGTGTTTGCATAGAGCATGTAATATTTATTAAGATAAATCTCAGCGATCGTCGTTAAACACAAATGAATACTTGTTAAAACGGAGAAAAGGTTGAATCGAATAAAGTCGATATTACGTTGGCGAGAAAAGGAAACTTTTCTTTAGCTCCGTTGGCACGTAAAACGGAATGTCGGAGTAATTAATTAAAGGGAATTTGCGTCGATGGAATGACGTTATTGTACCAAACTTCGCTCATAAAATTAAAGAACCGTCCCCAAATTGAACGACGCAGTTATCGCTATATATCGAGAAATAGTTACAAGGGACACGAGAAGATAAATAACCATTCTTTATTTTATTTTTCATGAACAATCTAGAGAGATATGCAGGTACTCGAATTGCACCAATTAAAGATAATATGAAATATATTAATATTTTGAGTGCGCCGAGAACGTGACCATTGGAAAAGTGAGAAGTGAACATTCCGCGGCTCGTCGCGACGTTTCAAGTGAGGTAGTATAAATAAATAAAGATAAACGACTATCTTCGGTTGGGGACAAGGGCGATACGTGGCGCCTCGTCAAGGTCACGATTAAAAAAAAGTTGTCGACTTTTGGTCGAAGTGAACGACTCGACACAGTTGCTTCTGTTTCTAAGGACAATCGTCGCGAGATACTTAACGTCCCTACGACCTTATATAAAGACGTATAATAAAGCTATTCGATCTAATAATTCTTTCTCGCTAATATCAAAGAATTATCTTTCGTCGGTGAAATAAGATTCGAACTATCATTTCCCATTTCCTGGTATAGAAGCTACGTCGTAGATAGCTAACCGTGCACAGATATGGAAATTCTCTCTCTCTCTCTCCCCCTCTGTGTGTGTGTGCGCGCACGATCGGACGTTTCAATGGTCGCACGAAATTCGGCATAATTCATTCATGGGCCCTCATAAATTTCGTGCTCGGACGAGTCATTGCGCGGAAAGCGTAGATGCGAGGATAAATTTGTGACGCGTCGGCGAACGATTTACGCGAGAGGACTGGCTTTTCCGTAAATCGACTAAAATATCCGGCTCGGCTAGCTGGAGCCTTGGAAAAATGAAAAGTGAAAGATGAAAGATGAAAAATGAAATACGTGCGCGCGTACAACGGGCTCATCGATATTCTTTTCTTTTTCGTTTCGAGAGCGAACAGGCGCGTGGGTCGATTTCGTTGTCGCAACGAACGAAATCGCGTTCGTAACTCGCGATATTTTTTCCTCGAAAATGTCCATCTATGAAGAGTCGAGTTTCCTTTCTTAAAATAATATCGACGATACGTCAAAGAGGGCCGTCACAGAAATTTCGGAAGATTCATCGTAACTCGCAGGCGGACACGGAAATCGCTACTACGAATTATTTTCGTTCGCCGCGTATTATTTCTGGCCGCGTGCGTCATGCTTTTGGATTCCAAGTTTACTACCACTAATCGTTGATCTTTCGAGCAACAAATCCTTCGGTATTTCTTTCGCTTCGTCGATATTCGTTCGGTTTTAGGAGACAAACGAACGATCGAAATGCCAACCGAGTTTTGACGATATCGTCCATTTTCAGATCGAAGAAATTATCTTGAGTATCGCCATATAAAATATATCCCATCGGACGACGAATGGAGTACGCGCGGATGCAATTTTATAGATTTATCAAGTTTAGTAAAAACGAATCACGTTGCCGATCGTTCATCACGTCTACGCGACGGGCACGTTTATCGATCCTGTAACCCTGCCACGTCGAATCCCCGTCCTATCCAATCTCTCCGCTATCGAGAGCAAAATATCATAGAAAAGTGACGTTTCATTTGGCGGTAGACCTTATAAAATTCAATTCCATGAATAGTAGCATCGCAACAAAATGACTTCTCGAGAGTGAAAGAATGTCGATATCAAGGGATCCTTTTGAGAAGCGAACGGAGTGAAACGGGAAATTAATGGTCAAAGTTTAACTCGTTCTAAGATCAGTCGATATTTTCTTGTTACGTCTTAATAGGTACATAGGCGCTTAAGTATATGAATACTCATTAAGTATACATAGGTATATAGAACGAGCCCTATAATATAATGACCTGTCGCGGGATGTATGAGACCGCTGTTATGTATATTCATTCAATAATTGCTCGTCCGTTCGATGATTAATGAGGCATTTCACAAAGCCTCGGTTTAGACAAAACATAGCGTAGCGTAAGCGCGTTCTAGGCATGACCATTATGGGTCGATATACCGTATAGCGGGAACGTTAGGCGAGAGGAGTCCCTTTTCTTTTTTATTTTACCAACGACGACTAACCAAAGTATCAGAGAATTCTAAATTTATCTATGCTGTATCTATATCCGAAACTTGATTCGATTTAAACAATATCAGCGCGCTCAATTCAACCTGATTCAATCGAATCATTCGAATTGTGTGTGCTCAAGTAATTTAACGAAGCTCAATCGGATAATCGGTAAAATCAGATATCAAAAGAATAAGGGATGGAATTATCGGAAGAATTCTCTTTAGTTAGCTATCCTCGAGATTTATCAAACGAAATACGAAATTTCCATGAGAACGTCAATACGGAACGTTCGATTTTAATTAAACGCGATTTTAATTGGCATACACTTTATTTACGTTAAGCTATTTAGAATTTACAGGAGTTACGGATTTCTCTTTGCGTAGCGTGTCACCTTGTATACGTACGTACATGCATGCGCGTATATACATCGAAGGAGAGAGAGAGAGAGAGAGAGAGAGAGAGAGGAGATTATCTACTGACCTCGGATGAATCGGAATCGTGATCCATTCTCGCGTTCCTAGCGAATATCGCAACCGAATGGAATTGAATGCTTCAATGAGTTTTCCTGTAAATTGATCCGTAAATGAATGCACTCGTTCGATCGGACAGCCAAATTTGAGACTCACTAGAAAATGATTTCGATAATGAGCTACTTAAAACACCGAGCGAAGCAACGAGTGATGACTTTGCAATGACAGTGTGCTTCTATTTTCGATTGGCTGCATCGAGCACGTGGTTAGTAAACTATAGTAATTCATTGACTTGGAAAAGCTAAATATATATTTTAGATAATAATATTTAGAAGAAATGTTTGCATTCGGTATCAGTTTTTTTTTTCCTTCACAACTATTAATACATCGAATTTGTCTATATTTTTATTTTACATAAGTACAGTATGTACACGTTTTAGAATATCTTCTAAGAAGACGCAAGTGATTTTTGGCAAATTTGCTACTCGAAAAAATTTCATAACTATTGTGGTAAATATACGCATCCTTTTGTATCGTCGTTGTATCAGACACAAAGAGGAAGATCGAGCTTTTTTCATTCAAAGATACGGAAAAGAATCGCAGAAGAAATCGAAAAAAAAGAAAGAAGAAGCGAGTTAAGCGCAGAAAGCACTCGATGTGAAAGCCCTCTTGCGGTATTGAAGAAAAGCTACATGGTCAGCTCGATATTGCGAGATGGAAAGAGAAAAGAAGGTAGAAGAGAGGACAGAGAGAGAGAGAGAGAGAAAGAGAATAAAATAGACACGGTCGCTGGGCTTCCGTCGTCGGAAGCGCAAGCTCGAGGAAAGCTGACGCTTGCGCGAGTTTCGCTATGTTTTGCGAGCCGCGTGAATAGAGGTCGTTGGTGTCGTGCCGTCTCCGTTCACCCCCGATATTTCTTCTCTCTCTCTCTCTCTCTCTCTCTTTCGCTCTCTCTCGCTCTCTCTCGCTCTCTCTCTCTCTCTCTCTCTCGCTCTCTCCTTCGTTCGCTGTGCTTTCACCCGCGACATATCACGGAACGGACGACGGAAAGTACGTGCAAAGTACATTCGTCAAATACTTCAACCCTTTGTTCTTTGTATTCTTCTTCTTTATTTCCATTCATTCTGCTACAGCTGGTGAGTAATGAACGAATATTCTTTATTTATCCGTTTGAAAAACTGACGGCCACAAAAGTCTCTCTTACTCTATGAATCGACTCGCTCTAAAAACCCTTATTAATAATCCGGTTGCGCTTTTGAAATTCATTAAAGAGGCAAAATATCGCGAAATGAGTTACGAATATTTTTTTATCGGATCGATAGAAAAGCTATCTAAGGATAATGAGTGCAAGAGAGAGAGAGAGAGAGAGAGAGAGAGAGAGGAAGAAAAAGACATGGCCGGTTTTCCGGCTGTTCGTAAAAAAGAGATGGTACGATATATTGATTCGAGGCGCCGCGCGTCGCGACCTACGAATCCGCCCTTAAGTCTCTCTGTCTCTCTCTTTTTAATATCAGCGAACAGCGCAAACTCTCTGAAACGCTAGTAAAGTTTTCACCGCGAACGGCGCAAAGTAAAAGCGTTTTTTGATCCACTTGGAGATTCTGCTTCTTGACCTTTTCCTCATTGTATTTCTAACGAGAAAGACTAGGATCGGCCATTACGCCGGGACGTCATTTGCCAAACGACGTGCGACGTCCCTTTATGCGCCGTGGCTTTAACAAAAGGTAACGCTTTATTATCAATTGCGATAGGTTAAGGACAATCGATCATTCTTATCCCTTATTTTACTGTACATTCTTTTAACCCTTTTATTTCCGCCTTCCGTTTCATTGTTTCAATGCTTCTTAAAATTTTCTTGCGCGAAATGACGTAAATAAAAGAGATTAATAGATTATAATTAAGATAGATAAATGAATAATTAGAAAAAAAACAGTACCAATTACGATAGCGATCTTTCGATTCGGATCCAGGCCGTGACGGTAAAACGCCGAAAGAGAGAGACTTACGAAGAAGATTATTCAGTAAGGTTTCTCTCTGTCGCAGTGACAACCTAGGGAAACGTCGTTTCTTCGACATGTTACTGTTAGAGACAAATACATAGGTGCATAGAAAGAGGGAGCGAGAGAGAGGATAGGAATCAAGAAATGGCTGCTTTCGTCGGGCTGTAGTCTATAATTAGAAGAGGCCAGTGTACGCGATATACATATACGCGAATTGTACTTGCACGTCGTATAAGGTTGGCACCGTTCGATCCTCATGTTTTCCATTTCTCGATCTTTCCGAGATTTCCCTTAAAGAGATATAAAGAGGAAGGTGGACGGTCGGACGATGACGAAATTTATATATTTTTCGTGCGTTTAGTTTCGAAGAATATTCGATTCGTTAATTCCTATGTCCTCCAATTTTCCTCTACCCTCTTGAAACGAATCAATACCCATCCACCTTCCTTTGCGATGCGTGAATGGATGCCCCAACCCCTCTGCCTTCTACTCTTCTCTCCTAACAACACGGGAATTTGGACACTCGCTTCATTCTCCTCGTATCTCGCGCAATGTGTTATAAATACATAGATAAGGTGTAAATATTTATCGTAAACGAAAAGTCCGATGACCGATCGTTATCGCCATTGGACGTTAATGACAATTTAATCGTAATTTAACGTGACAAGTGAGAATCATCGACGCGCGGTCAACGTTACATATTTTTCTCTTTTCTTTTTTTCTTTTTCTTTTTTATTCTTTTTCATCTCTTTCGACGAAAAATACATTTAACGACATCAAGTGAATCTATAAAAATGAGAAATGTTATATCGTGGCAAGGGGCGCTCTTAAGGTATAATAATTAAACGATAGATCGTCGAAGCAATGACGTGAGAAATAATTTCGAAGAAATAAAACATGCACACTTTGAAGGTTTAAGTGTTACACGTTTGAAAGGACGTTTCGTAGTTTCAACAAGTAGTACACGATGATATACAGTCAGGCATTCCTCTTCCGCTAGCGTACGTTGCCTCGATGAAATAGTTGCTATCGTCAACAAAGTGATAATATCGAACAACGTAGAAGCAGACATTTTTTAAACGTACTCAATCTCTCTTAGCCTCGATACTCGACTCGAACGAGCATTTTCCGTAAACACCGATCAGAGGGAGAGGGAACGCTTATAAACACTAGGGGAAACGATACGGGGCGGTACGGGGCGTTTGTGCCGTTGCTTACAAAGTAACTGACATGTACTGCGCATGCAACGAACTTTAACCCTTTATAGACCGACGCGACTCGTAAATAGGAACGACGTACGCTCCTTAATAACGCGTTTACCTACGGTCGTATCCTTGCGAGATGCGATGATTCGCTCGTTGTAACGCAAATTGTAACTCTTTTCAGATCGCTAAAGGTACGACGAGATGGGGAAAGAAAAAATACACATTAACATCGTGGTGATCGGTCACGTAGATTCGGGAAAGTCAACGACAACGGGTCATCTGATTTATAAATGCGGTGGCATCGACAAGCGTACGATCGAAAAATTCGAGAAAGAGGCCCAAGAGATGGGTAAGGGCTCGTTCAAGTACGCCTGGGTTTTGGACAAGCTGAAAGCCGAACGCGAGCGTGGTATCACCATCGACATCGCCCTTTGGAAATTCGAGACTGCCAAGTATTCCGTGACGATCATCGATGCCCCTGGTCACCGGGATTTCATCAAGAATATGATCACCGGCACGAGTCAGGCCGACTGCGCGGTCCTTATCGTAGCCGCCGGTATCGGCGAGTTTGAGGCTGGAATATCGAAGAACGGTCAGACGCGCGAACACGCCTTGCTAGCGTTCACTCTCGGCGTCAAGCAGCTGATCGTCGGCGTCAACAAAATGGACATGACCGATCCACCGTACTCGGAGAGTCGCTTCGAAGAAATCAAAAAGGAGGTGTCGTCTTACATCAAGAAGATAGGATACAACACGGCATCGGTCGCTTTCGTTCCAATTTCTGGTTGGCACGGCGACAACATGCTCGAGCCATCACCGAAAACGATCTGGTACAAGGGTTGGAAGGTCGAACGTAAGGACGGCAATGCCGACGGCAAGACTCTGATAGAAGCGCTCGACGCCATATTGCCGCCATCCAGACCAACCGACAAGGCACTTCGTTTGCCTCTTCAGGACGTTTATAAGATCGGTGGTATCGGGACCGTGCCCGTTGGTCGCGTCGAAACCGGTATCCTTAAACCAGGTGCGTTCAAACTTTTATTCGTTCAATTACTCCTCGACCGATTTATATTATATTTATTAATCTACGTTTGCTGATGATCGTTTTATTAACAGAGGGAAAAGAAAAAAAGAAAAAAAGAAAAAAAGAAAAAAGAAAAAAGAAAAAAGAAAAAAGAAAAAAACGAATCGTCGTCGCAAATAATACGGCATATTTTTTATCAGGTATGCTGGTGACCTTCGCTCCAGCTGCGCTAACCACCGAAGTGAAATCCGTCGAGATGCATCACGAGGCCTTGACGGAGGCCCTACCAGGCGACAACGTTGGCTTCAACGTGAAGAACATCTCGGTGAAGGAATTGAGACGCGGCTACGTTGCCGGCGATTCGAAAAATCAACCGCCTCGCGGCGCGGCCGACTTCACCGCTCAGGTCATCGTCCTCAATCATCCGGGACAGATCAGCAACGGTTATACGCCCGTCCTCGACTGTCACACCGCTCACATCGCCTGCAAGTTCGCTGAGATAAAAGAGAAATGCGACCGTCGTACCGGTAAAACCACCGAAGAGAATCCAAGAAGTATAAAGAGCGGGGACGCTGCCATCGTGATGTTGCAGCCGACCAAGCCGATGTGCGTCGAGGCTTTCCAAGAGTTCCCGCCTCTTGGCCGTTTCGCCGTCCGCGATATGCGTCAGACCGTTGCCGTGGGCGTAATCAAGGTACGACATATATTATATGCCGTTTAGATTTTATTTCATTACGTCGCCGTCTTTGGACGTTCAAATAATTCATAATATTATATATTGTCGTATTATAATAATATCAACTATCGAGAGTCCTTTTCTATTTCGAAGTTATTTCGTTTTCTTCTTTCTTCTCTTTCCAGAGTGTTACCTTCAAAGACACTCAGGGCAAGGTCACAAAGGCCGCGGAGAAAGCCCAGAAGAAAAAGTAACCATCAAGCTTACTCGGAATCTCCAAGTTCGCTGGTCTGTCCATCGATACCACCGCCAGGGTCTACTATTCCAGCAAGACGCAGTTCGCCACGACTGCTCCGTTTGATCCTCACTCGATTAATACCAAAAGGGAAAAGATGTTGTGCTTACCCCCGTTACATTATCCAGTAGTATTGAATCCGCGCATTTATCCAAACCTGCACATACAATTCACCCATGCCCCTCGCACGCCCCACATATGCTAGGGTTAATTGCGTTTTTACTTCATTATTACATCGACGATATGTGTCCATTTACAGGTAATTACTCGGTTTCCTTGGACTCTGTGTAGTTAGGTTTTTAAATTAATATATTCAAAGAGATACTCACGGGATGCGTCGTTATCGGTCATATTGCGGCCAACGATTCGGCGCTACGTACGAGGCAGCGTGGCTCAGCGAACAACGACGACGACGACGACGACGACGACGACGACGACGACGACGGCGACGGCGACGGCGACGGCGACGATAAAAAGAAGGAACGTGCGACTTGGAAGAGAAGATAATTCAAACCTTTCTTGTACCAAGTCTTTTTTCACTCCATCGAACAAACGCATTTGCAAAGAAACAAGAAAGGATGGTATTATCGCGATATTGCAGTCTGATTTTTGGTTACCGTTAAAAGAAATTTGTAACCTCGCTTAGAGAGCCCACGCTGCCTCGCATCCCCGTATTTTTAATCGATTCATTTCGAAGAATTCGTTAAGGCTGATTTGTTAGAAGACTTGGTTGCCTCGCTGCAATTAATTTTACTACTTATATAAGGATATCTATATAGTTGGTAGGATATTAGGACCGTGCTCCTTCATCTATTATCTCTCTCTCTCTCTCTCTCTCTCTCTCTCTCTTTCTCTATACTTGTCTATACTTGTCTCTCGTAATCCGCACGGTTTGGCTCGACTTGACTCGAAACGAGATCGACAACTCGACAATTCTCGACAAGCGCGCGAGTCTCCTTGCGTATTCATCACCGTTGATATCGGTGAATCCCCATATTTCTTCACCGCTCCATCCTCTTCGTCATTTCCTATCTAATTCCATATCCTCATAGACGCGTTCTATGATTGTTTTGCCCTTTAGCCAGTATTATGTTGGTGTAATAAAAAAAAAATTTAATTGCATCTGTCAAATCGTCTTTTTTCTTACCACCGACGATTTTTCTTTGCGTGGATGATGATAATATTACAACAGTATTCTACATTAGTATATATATGTATATATGTATGTATATATATATATATATATATATGTATATGTATATATATATAACCCGCAGATCAGAATGACCAAGAGTCAGTTTATGGTAAATATAATTTATTCGCAATAAATTCTTTGATAAAGTTACAACTAAAGATATTATGTACAAATATGTTTTATGCAACAAATCGATCTAGCAAGAAATTCAATGTAATGCAGGTCTTTTTCAGTCTTTAATTGCTGAGACCCGTTTCGTGAGACATCGAGCAGACTCAATCTTCTCGCGATTTAACGTGGACACAAGTTATGCGCGAAAAAACGGCACTTTTATACACATTCATTTATTTGATATAGTAGTATTGATTTGTTATTATACGTACGGGATCATGTAAAAATTGTAATGCACTAACCGCTATTAACCGTATATCTTCTTATCGACCCTGGGGCATTGTCTAGGCACATTCGGACAAACTCGTTTCGATCGTTTTACAAATCTTTCTAAACAGTTAACATTGGATTGATGTTCGAGCCACTTTACATTTTCTCCATAGATCTTAATAATTAATTAATTGTTCCCTTTGAGCGATCCCGATCAAAAGAAATTTTTATTCGATTCCTCGAACACCAGTTTGTACGCATCTTATTTCGATATAACGCGAAATGTAGTAATAATCTATTGCAATAAATTCTTTGATAAAGTTACAATTAAAGATAGTATGTACAAATATATTTTATGCAAGAAATCGATCTAGCAAGAAATTCAATGTAATGCAGGTCTTTTTCAGTCTTTAGTTGCTGAGACCCGTTTCGTGAGACATCGAGCAGACTCAATCTTCTCGCAATTTAACGTGGACACAAGTTATGCGCGAAAAAACGGCACTTTTATACACATTTGATATAGTAGTATTGATTTGTTATTATACGTACGGGATCATGTAAAAATTGTAATGCACTAGCCGCTATTATCCGTATATCTTTTCGTCGACCCTGGGGCATTGTCTAGGCACATTCGGGCAAACTCACTTCGACCGTTTTACATATCTTTATAAATAGTTGACATCGGATTGATGTTCGAGCCAATTTACTTTTTCTCCAAAGATCTTAATAATTAATTAATTGTCCCCTTTGAGCGATCTCGATTAAAAGAAATTTTTATCCGATTCCTCGAACACCAGTTTGTACGTATCTTATTTCGGTATAACGCGAAATGTAGTAATCATCTATGCAATAAAACGAAAGATGAAAATTACGAAGCGCTCCTTATTTCGCTCGATAACTTTTGTTTGGTAACAAGTAACAAAGAGGGAAACATAGAATATGCAGAGAGCGAAGAACGAAGAATGTCAAGACTAAATGATGATTAACAAAAGAGCAGTATAATACTGATTGGCAAATGTTAGTCTATGCATTAAAAGCACTCGCCAATCAATTATAGATTGTGTTTCCCCGACGGAGTTAATTCTCTTTTAAAGATTCTTAGGATGGCTTTGTCGATGTAATAAAGAAGATCTACGAAGGAAAAAGAAAATGTCTTTGAGAATGGAAAATAAGAAAAGGGACAAGAATAAGATTGATAAGGCGAGAGGAAAGGCACACCGAAGCAAAAGTGCGAGCCGAAGATTCTCTTCGTAATACTCGTTACTATTTTGTCTACTTCTAATCGCTTATTCTTTTCAACGATTGTAAATGCTAAAGCAACCCACAGCCTCGGTAAGTGAAAGAGAACTTCCTCTCGGTATATCGCGCATTGATGCACAATGTGCTCGATAACTACTAACAATAGTAATCGTTGTAATAATAACAATAGTTGCAGTAATAATAATAGTAATAATAATAATAATAATAATAATAATAATAGTAATAATAATAATAATAATAATAATAATAATAATAATAATAATCGTCATCGTCGCCGTCGCCGTCATCATCATTATCACTACACCATCGTCATCGTAATCTTAATAATAGTAATAGTAACAATAATAGCAACATTAATAATAAAGAGGGACTCCACTCGTCGAAAGCAATACACGCTACGTATATATCTTTAGAATTAGAAAATGTGCTTTTCTCTCGAATAAATAACTTTTTCTTTCACCTATGTGATAAAATGCAATACTTTCGTGCAATACTAGTGTCCATCAAGACCGTACTATCAAAATTGAATGGAACTAAGTTTATTAGTCGCGAAATATTTTCCACTTAAAAAAGGCCCCCTCTCTGTAGAGTCCTCCAAATGGAGTCCTGTCTCATATATTATCATTCATATACGTATATAGTACCCGATATTATGTATAATAGGTACGTGATATAGGATTACAATATTGTGCCTAAAAATTTGTCGTCACCCTGCGTCAACTTTCTTCGTTATTGTTTTGGACAGTACTCGCAAATACGAACGGACAACTTGTCGAAATATTCGCCGAATGCAGGACGCTTTAGAAAAGTAGGACGCTTCGCAAATACTCCGGAATGTTTCTAATGGACGATATTTATCGAGCGCAATTGTTCCTGTTCATAAAAGGCGCCAATGCGTCGTGCTAGCTCTCAGGTATCCCTCTCTCAAAGATAATAGCAATCAAAGGAATCTTCGTCGCACTTTGAGAGAATGATTAAAAATATCTCGAGCGAGGAAATAAAAATAATCGGTTACTCGTCTCGATGGATCTTTACGTCTGATAAATTGGACTGTGTTGGGTCGACCACGGCGCGGCTCCGTTTCCTATCGTATTGGTCGTCGTCGTGCCCGTCGTCGTGCCCGTCGTCGTCGTCGTCGTCATCGTCGTTGCCGTCGTCGTCATCGCAGTTATCGCGGTTGGACTCGGCGCCGACGGTGGCGTCGAATGTTGATTGAAATTGACGGATATCGTGACCGGATGGAGGACCGTGTCTGGCCCGTTGTCCGGAATGAAAGCAAAGTAAGGGCTCAGTATGGAAGCCTCGACGGTTAAAGGTACGTAAAAAGCGCCGCCATCGTGAAGCGCGAAAATCGGAACGCCGTGAGACGAATTCGCTTGTTTCTCAGGACTCGACTTTATCCTCTCGGCGGAGAACCTCTGCTTGATCGAGCTCTTGAACTTGTAATTCTGAGGGCGATAGCTATTGCTAGAGCTGGGAGGCGTGCTATGAGAATGGCTGCTGTGGTTACTGTCGTCGCTGACGATCGTGGGCGGCGGTATTGGACCCGGGCTGCAGCAAACGCCGGAGCCGAGCGGGCGCTGAGGACGTTCAGGATCGCCGAAGGAGCTCACGCCGGAGCTCGAGCCATGATCGGAGTGAACGGTAGGCTGGCATATCGTAGGTATGCTAACGTGAGCGTAACTCGTACCGTTCGCGCTACCGTTCGACATTGGCATCTCCGGCTGAGGAAAGCCCAGTCTGTCGCCTAAAAATATTTCAAATAATTTCCGAAATGAAAATTAGAATAACAATGGAAAAACATAGGGAGATAACGGTGGACGCAAATACGCACTCGCAGCCAAAATCTTCTCGCAATGCTGCTGCAAGTGATTGGTCAGCTGTACGCAGAGATGATCCCTCGCGTAGAAGCCCTCGACCTCGATGAGAAAGTGCATCGTCTCGCTGAGGCACTCTTGAAATCCCAGCCTGTAATGTTCGGCCGCGGTCGAGGCCGCGGTCGAATGGGAAACGCTGTCGATGCTGTCTTCGGGGTGCGCGTGCACGGGTGTAACGGTCGCGTGCTTCGTGCCTAAAGGAGAAACGAAAAAAAAAAAAGAAAAAAAAAAGAAAAAAAAAAAAGAAGAAAGAGATCTATCACTTTGTCCTTGTCTCGAGAACGAAAATAATAAAGATAGTCGGCACAAAGTTCTCGAACCTTGTCGAAGACCTTGCAGGTGTTTCATATGACGTATGGCCATCTCGATGATCTCGGTTTTCTCAACTCTGCCGCGACCCTTCTTCAAGTATTCCGCGGGTATCAACCTGCTGAGATCGGCAAGGCAATTGTTCATGCGATCTCTTCTGCGTTTCTCGATGATCCTATGCGACATCGGATCTTGCTGTAATGCAAAAATGAACGATCGATCGATCATCCTTTCTCTCGGCGAAAGCCGAATAAATAAACATTATTAATAAGCCTATCGAGTCTTTTCGCTGACTTTACTAACACTCGTTACGAATGAAACCATGCTGTGTCGTCATCTGATAAGAGCGAAACGCTTTGAATTTTAAGACTTAAGAGAATTTTAAAAAGTACAATTTATTCATTTCAATTTCGCGTCGATTCCTTTGGATCTATAACGGATATCGGATATCAGAGAGGGTTTCTTATCTTTTGCCCCTTTTTTTTTTTCATTCGGTCTATCGCGTGTACGTTCGCGTATGTCGTGTTTATCCTAAAATTATTTCAATACATCTACGTACGTAAGTCAGTAGAGATCGTCCCCGCCGATAATAGAGGAATGATCGAACGCCCTACTTCGCTGGCGTAACTCCACAGCGATTTTCCACGTACCACCGCGCGCCAAAATTAATCGAGTTAAGCTCGAGTTCTTAGAAAAAAAAAAAAAAAAAAAAAAAAAAAAAAAAAAAACAACAACAACGTACGTAAGTTGGTATGGAATTGCCTTAGTAATAATATAATTTCGGATAACCGATCACACGCGTATCGACACGCGTTTCCAAACGTTTCGTTCGTCGTTTAACTTAAATAAAAAGCACAATTTACCTCTTTGTTCAAGCAACGCCTTTTCCTCGTCGGTGGCGAATGTACCGCGTTGACGTGATTAATCACCGGATAATATTGCATATTCAAAATATTATCCATACTGTGCGTGACCATCGTCGTGTTTGCGCGATAAGATGTCCGAAACGACGAAATGACGACGAGGAAACGTCCCAGAAGTATAAGAAATCGAGGGAAGAAAAGCCAGTGAGCTTTATATCTATATATATATATATATAAATATATATA